TTTGTTTTCTCTCTCTTTATCCAACACGCGGATAGAAACCTAAACAACCTTCAAGGAACGGTAATCTAAACTTAGCACAGGTTCACCGATAATAGCAATAATTAAATATTATTTTAAGAAAGACGAAATGTTAAATATTTGCTTGTGTTGTTTTGGCTTTGTTATCATATGACTAAACTTAAACTCCCTCTCCTCTTCCCTTTATCTCTCCTTTCGAAGATACATTACTATTATGCAGAGAGAGAGAGAGTGTGTGTGTGTATGCGTGTTGTAGATTGAGAGAAAAAGGAAGGGTTTAATAGCAGAGAGGGAGAGAGAGAGACTATAATATCTCTGAGATTTTCCGTTCTAATGCTATTCAGTTAGTTATTTATTAATTAGTAACACAAATAGCTATACAAAGAAGAAATAGACTTATTAACGAAGTCCTTAAAATTGGCGGGTTTTTCTTCATTTCGTGACAAGATCATCCTATTGGGGCTTGGATTTCATTTTCCGGTTCCATGGCCGGTATATCCTCCTTAAGGAAACCACAAGTTCAGAAGCAATTTTTTATTGCGGTTGCAGTTTACCTCTTCCATGCTTCGTCGGCAGTTGCAGTAAGCAATGATTTAGACGTTTACTAGAGTCCTGGAAACACCCACCACTGGTCGTCACCCCTTGTGGTCTACGTGAGGAGCTCGGTTCATACTTATAACCCCTACCATTATATCCACACATTTTATTGGGATTTCAATATAAATATGATTTATAAAAAGTTTTGGTTGGTTTTATACGATTTAACAGATTTTTTCAAGGAACCTGCACGCAGATTTCACATATATCTATTATTTATTGTTAAAAGTTTCAAGTCGATTGGACTATATGCATCATCATATGAAATTGTTGTATATAAGTTAAGATAAAAATCTCAGTCGGACTTCAAAACTGAAACATGGCATTTTTTTGAACGGTTTTTGTGAAAACACGTATCATTTTCACAAGGTCATAAATATTTAAAGTTAAACAGCTTTTGTTTGCTTTAGGCCAATTTCCTAGCATAAGCCCCAGCTCAATATTTAAAGTATTGGACAAGTTCTGGCCACTAAAACGGACCAACACTAATAGAAAGTTGAAAATTTTTAAAATAAAAATAAAATTCTTATTGCCATGAAATTGGAATTTTAACACAAATCTCAACATCAAACCACTATAAGTATAATAATTTATATAATGGTTGCTTATGCTGCATCAGACTTGACAAAACAACGACCCAGCCCCTCCCTTCCGGATTCCACGTTAAAAATATTCTTCGGCCACGTGGTGATGATCCTGCTGGAATTGTCTGTACTAGGAGGATTGATCTTTCAGCCATTTGTCACGTAGTAGGGACTATGACCTCTTGACTATAACGTGAAAAATTCACTACACATAACATCATCATTCCAGATTATACAATTTCAACTTTGAACCAATAAATATCTCTACGTTTATAATTTTTCTATTACAAAAATCAACTATTATTGATCGCACATTTCTGTTGTGTTCAAAAAATCTCTTGCATTTTTTTGACAAAGTCATTGCTATAATAATAAATCCACTATCACTTGAAAACGTATTTGTTAAATTTAGCTTTACTAATATGCTTTTGACTCTGATAACTTCAATGAGTCATTGGAGAACACGAGGTTGCCCTTGTCTTTTCTTATTGCACAACCCAACCGTCGATGGGTAAGACTGCGGATTCCATTCAGATTGTAAAACCGACTGTCGAAATACTCAGGAAGGAAAGGTCATTCGATCGATTATAGAGTGACGTGGTGGGGCCGGCATAAAAACGTCGGTCTGCTTTACCGTGCGTCTGGTTGGTACGTCTGTCCCGACGTCCACCACCACCACCACCACCATTTTTCTTCTTCGGCTCCGGCGAGTTGAATGACTCATTGGTACCCGGTTGGAAGGGGACGTCAGCTAGAAAAAGACCCCCTGCTTCATGCCACATCAGCCGGCAGCCCGTACAAAAAGTCAGGCAGCCACCTGGCTCTGTCTTAACATCATCAAACCTTATACGTTTGACATCCATCGTAATATTTATCGGATAATCGTGTGGTCAGCTGAAAATAAAAAATTAACGAGTGTTATCTGTATAAACTTAAATAGATTTAATTGTAGACCACTTTGTCATATTAACATCTAAACGGTCTAATGAATAAATTGCATGCATCCTTAAAGGTTAATTTAGAGTTAATTGCATTGTTTAACTCATGCATATAACAAGTTGTCTACCATGGTTCAAACACGTTTAAAAAATCTTTTCACAACTACAGGTAACTACTCGTTTTTGTTTTATAGTCGAGTAATCCAATCCAGTCAGCCAAAACGGCCACACGACAACCCACAAGTTAATCGACTCATGTCAGCATGTATGATTGATGATTTCTCTGGCTAAGCTTCATCATCTATTGTGCTTTGCTCATATGAAACTTAGTTGACTGATTCTGACGTAACAACATAACGTGTTTATCCAAACTTGCCCTTACTATCTGAACATTAAAAGACTCATCCATGGCAGAATAACTGTGCACGATGCCTAACAATACTTTCGCGTGTCCTTTTCTTCTGAGGCCGAAAATACAGGTTCCGCACAACTTGCACCTATATTTTTGAATTGCCGGAATAAATTGTTTCGGCTTTGCGGATTTCTAATAACTGTTTATCCAAAGTGTCTGAGAAACGGTTGTGTTCTGCCGAGAAATGTAACGGTCGGTTGCGTGTGGCCGAGGGAATTAGCCTGTGGAGGAACGCAATTAGCCCTTTGCTCTTTCAGACTGATCTCCGAGACTAATCGGATCTCCGTGGCACTTCTAGGAGTTGAAAACTGCTGCTTCCGAAAGTCGGGATCTTCTCAACAGATGGCTTAATAGGAGGAATATATTCAGACAGTCGAGCTATAATCTGAACTGTCATTTTCTCATTGTCCCTGATGTATGTTTTTTTTGTCATAATTTATTTATACGAGTCATTTATATCTTAGACAATGACATGAGACACTTTTCCTCTGATATTTCTTTTAAATGCTTCTGTAATTTATAGGAGTGGCAGATACAATGGGATTTTCTGAACCACTAGGATGATCGCCACTCAATTGTGTAAATAAATAGGAAATGTAATTATTTCTCACCCCCAAATTATCCCTATAAGGTCAATTTCTCGTGGATGTGTTGCACGGAGCGTGTGCAGGCAATTGGACCTCGTATGAAATTAGTTTTACCCAACCCCAAACGATTTCTCTCCCCTTGATGAATGCTATTGATTTCATGTAACTCCGGAGGGTGGGAGAGTCACAATCAACGAAATTTACATCCCTATCGATTTTCCAGCGTTCGAGACGCCTAGGGGAGCCTGGATCGAATTCCGGTCTGGGTGACGGGTTTCTTCTTGGATGCAGTAGGGGGTGTCTCATACCTTCCCGTAGGGGAGAGGACAAACATTTTGCATCTAGCCTCTGCAGGCAAGGATTTCATTACAGCCCAAAAACGATATTCCTTTCTGTAGACATCCCAAGCGCACTAAGTTTTTATTAGATTTGAACAACCCGAGTAGAGCCCCTATCTTAGCAGCAATTGTAAAAGATACGGCTTGTACATTTAAGAATGTGGGCTGCGTTCCTAGGGGGAAAATCGAATTAAAATTCCGTCCACAATTTTATGCTAGGGCTAAGGGTCTCTACAGCTAATTTTTATTTCAGAGCCATGTTCCGACAAACAGGAAGCGTTTCCGCTCATGCTCAGTTAAGGAAATGTAATGTACAGTTATTTATATTAGAAAGACTGGCTCCTTCACGCACAGAAGAGAACTTTCTTTTTTCTCGCACTTCCTCATCCGCAGTTATGCTGTTCGTATGCGTAGACGTTTAAACCTATAAATACGGCTCTAAACCCGTTTTGAATCGTTCCTCGACTCGTCTATATTCGTGGATATAGAATATCAGTGTAAAATTAGTCGTTTGAAAGTTATGGCCATTATTTTTGTGAACTGACCCCTGGCCTAAGTTGTCGATCTTCTGGCGACTCACCAAACGGTGTCATTTAATATCCGACCTATTTTTTTTTCCTTTCTCCATAGAAAAATAAACCTTATCAGTGACCATGATAATCCTTTCTCATTTTAAACAATAACATACGAGAAAAGTTAAAAGTGAGCATTTTTTCTCATTTCGATGTCAGCCCAGTTAGGATCATTAACTCAGTTTTTCGTAGGGGGACTCGGACAAAGTGTTGCGGGTCAGTCTAACCAAAAAAATTTATTGGCGAAAAAATTAATTCCTTTTCCAGATAATTTGTCCAAAAATTTTTAAAATTGGAGCACTAATAGTCAGTTAACAAAATTACTGAATTGAGAATTCATATACCAGGAGAGAGTGCCTTTTCCTATAAACACTATCTCTTACTTTGTTTTTTCACATTATAAAACGACAAAATTTCCAAGTAAAGACACAAAACTAATGTTGCATAAACAAGCCCACAACTAGGCAGAATTGCCTTTCAGAAAGGTTCATAGCGGTAGAATCGGTAGGAAATTAAGAACTTCTTTTGGAAACTACTTCAGAAAAACAGCCGCCCAGAAAAGTAAGGGTTTTTGACACAAAATGGACAAAATCAACCCGTTTAAGATAGGGGTTTCAAAGTTTTTATGTGGAAATATAAAAGGCATAAATAATCGGATTTGGAGGAAAAATTCATAAAATGTAGAAAAAGTTGTTCAATAGTTTTCTTGCTGGAGACTTTTTTTTAGACAAAAAATGCTTTAAAAAAAAAAGCTTGAATTTAATACATAGTAGAGAAACATTTGTACCAAATTCAATCGAAAATGGTTTACTAGTTACCGAGGAAAATTCCCTTTTAGGTTGCCCCTCAAACCACTTCTGGAATTATTAATTTTTTTAAATTATATATATTTATAACATAATATTCTATGTTTGTAGCATATAATTATATTACTTTTGTTTTGTCTTTTTTCAGGCTTCAGGAGTGACAGTATCCGATGCCTGCAAGACGACTTACGAAGAAATTAAAAAGGACAAAAAACACCGTTATGTAGTATTCTATATCCGGGACGAGAAACAAATAGACGTCGAAGTAGTTGGTAAGCAGACCAGTTCAATATATTTTTTTTCCGTAGTGAATTTCGAGCTGCTTAACGCGAAAAAAAAATACTAGCTGCTCAGAAATAGAACCAGGGACCACAGAAATAGTCTCCACTGCTAAATTGGGAAATGGCACATTTTCCCCCCAATATTTGTTTACGGAGTCCCAATACAAATAGAGATCTTGTGATTTTGAACCTTTTTTTCCCCCAAATTTCTTTTTATTTACTTATACAAACGTTCTAATCAACCCTTCCTGTACCAAAAGCTGGTTATCTTAGCCAAAATTTAAACAACGATGTTTAATGTTACATCCGTGAAACGCGAAAATAATTTAATAATTTTTATTAAATTATTTTAATTTAATTTAATAAAGTTTGCGTGTATTGGTCGGGGTGTAATATACTGGGCTCTTTAAAAGAGGTATTGTATCCGAAGTTCAGCTTGCATGCTCGTACAAATGTTTATTGGACGAACATAGCTTTAAAAACCTGTTCAGACATTAAAATCGTACTGAGATAATGTTTTATTTATTGTAATACACAACATAACACAATAAACAGGTTTGAAATGTAATAAATTGCATTGCGGAAAATAGTAATTTTCGCACGTATAAATAATTTATTATAAATATAAAACGCACCCAAAGACTAGCAGACCTGGCAAAAAGTAAACTTATCCTTAATAACCTTCGAAGGACACCGATAGAATCCAAACCGGCAGACACTCTCCCCCTTCATCACCTTTTTATCTCTAGCTGCATCCTCCCTCCCAATCTCCAGAATTTCGTTTTTCTCAGGGTGTGTACATTTGGAAAATAAAAACCAGACCACGTAAAGTTGACTCATCACGGATAAAATGCGAGACTGCGGATTTAACGGTTAAAAGGGGGGTACATTGGCCTGTGTTGATTAGAGTATTTGTGTGTTGTTTATTCTTTTAATGAAATGCTTTAGTCACGTCGGTTATTTATTGGCAGTTCCCATTTTGAGTACTAACGATTCCAGTTTTCAGTTGACGGCGGTTATACCCTTGGCTTAATGGCTGATGCCAAATTAGACTGATTTTTATTAGACGGCAAGGAAATGTCGGTTAGGATGCGAATTTACAACAAATACTGGGAAAACGGGAAAGAAAAAGTTCCGAAAATTTATAATGACCAGAATTCTTGGGAAGAAATGTGTATACTTGAATAAAAGAATTACAAAATCGTGCCTCCTTATGTAAAAACGTTTACACTTGGCGATGAAAATATTCTTATAAGTTCGTTCTTCTTCTTTTTTCCTCCATATTTAAGTAAATAACCTCAATATTAATTTTGAAACATAAAAAACTTTTTTTTCCACTTTATTGTTTCTCGAAACTGGTATTTTCGGGTGGATCTCATATGAGATCCGCCGCCTGACGTCCAAGATAGTAAACCAGCACCGCGCCTAGTTCCTGTTTGTTTTATTTATTTATTTTTCAATTGTTATTATTATTATTTCGTTTACTTTGACAATTAGTTGTTTTGTCATTATTTGAGGCAGTAAGGTTGAAATTTCATTAAAAAAAANTATATATATCAAACATTCCATTTAAAAAATATACAATAAATTTGCACTGTTTATATAAAAGTTATTATTTAATCCATTTTTGTTTAGTGGTCTAATTGACCATATTTCAATTAATTATTATTTAAGGTATGGTCTTGGTTGAGATAAAAAGTTAGTGTCATGAGTGGGATTCGAACCCACGACCTTCGGCTCAATAGACCACTTCTCTAACCACTTCACGAAGTCACGATAGTTCAAGTGTTAACTTTTTCATTTCAACCAAGACCTAATATAAAAAGAATAATAAATTGAAATAGTTGTTATTTAAATAAAACTAATCTGTAGAGGTGGTGTTCTTTGAAGCACTCGGGACACATCCAATCTTTCTGTCAGCCTGTTCTGTTTCTACAACCTGGGGAGAAGAAGAATGTTCTCACTTTTTTACCTCGTTTGCGATTGACACGGTGCTAATTGCTGTAAGGTGAAAATGCCAGGTTCAAATGTAGAGCTGGCGGATTCGAACCCAACATAGGCACACCCCGAGGGTTCATATATAACCTTGAAAAAAAAAAAAAATTCACAGGCTTCAATGGAATTACACTGGAAGCGCGTGAAATCTGGTTTCACACTGAATCTAGATTGTTCAATATGGTAATTAATAAAGTATGGGAGAAAATAATAGCCAATAAAAAACTGCGAGTTCGAAAAATGGTCTTTTTCCCCCTCCTCCTTTATTAGAAGCAAATAATGCCATTAAAAATGATTTAATAAACATTACATCTAAAAAATCCATCCCTAACCATTAGCATGTCTAGTGTACCCATTAATAGATATTCTTAGTTGATCATTAGACAATTGTTTTAAAAAAACTCTTTCTCCAGGTGATAGAAATGCAGCTTATGATCAGTTCCTTGAAGACTTACAGCAGGGCGGTACTGGTGAGTGCCGCTACGGCCTCTTCGACTTTGAATATACACACCAATGCCAAGGTACTTCTGAAGCCTCCAAGAAGCAGAAACTCTTCCTCATGTCCTGGTGTCCCGACACCGCCAAAGTTAAGAAGAAGATGTTGTACTCTTCCAGCTTTGATGCTCTTAAGAAGTCATTAGTAGGAGTACAGAAGTATATTCAGGTATTTTTTTATTTACCTATTTTTTAAATTATCCACTTCATTTTCAAATTAAAACTTTTTTTTCCCCCAGGCAACAGATTTGTCTGAAGCGTCACAAGAAGCAGTAGAAGAGAAGCTGCGTGCAACGGACAGACAGTAAAAAACACCCGAGAAAACGACATACACGCAAATTAAAAATATAAAAAAAAATAATAAAAAGGAAAGCGCAGAGGAGTTGGACGTTATTTACCTTCTACATTTAAAATTGAGACATAAAATTTAAAAACACTACAAGTATATTGAAAACACTACACTATTATAAATGTATAAAAATTAAAAAAAAGTATTTAAAACAAAAGGTTTAAAACTAATATATACCCACACAATAATAAAACTGCTGTGAGATTGTTTTAAGTCCGAGTCTGCGTACACTCTCTACTAGTCGGAGAAGGACGCGGTGTGGTTTTTGTTTTTAAATTACGATATTTGTAATTACGTTTTTAAAACGAGCCTGAAGAAAGAATTTATTATTAAATTATTTAGAAAAAAGAAGAAAGAAAGAACAAAAAATGGGATTGAAATCCCCTTGGCTGATTTTTTTCATTTTTTTTTTTCCAATCGCCTCAACTCCTCGTTTGTGAACAATCAACATTTTTAATAATGAAAAAATTTGCAAATTGTAAATTTTTGTATGCGATCGTATGCTGTTGTCTAGTGGCGGAATATACAATATATAAACAAAATATGGAGTCGTGTTTCAAGGCATTTACCGTATAATTATTATTATTATTCATTATTATAAAAAAAGATAATTATTACGTTTTTTTATGTTTTTGCTCAGTCTTGTGTACTTCCTGAAATTGGTATATATAGAAATTTTGTACTTTAAATCTTTGCGAAATCTTTATGTAGATGTATTACTCTTTTACATATTCAGGCTGAAATAATAATTATATATAAAAACTTTCATTTCTATAATCAGTTTTGTTTTCATTACCTACAATCCTGTTTGATAATCCTATATTTATAGCACATGTATGATAAATAAACATATTGTAACAAGCTGATAATTTGTACCTTATTATATTTATTAAAGCATGAAAGGATATTGGTAACTTAAAATTTGAGTCATTTAAAAAAACCTATATCATAGAGTAAAAAAAGTCCTTCCTACTGGAGTAATAATCCATATCCACGTTAAAATAAATTATTTATTTTAAACTAACTTTTTGTAATTAAAGATTTTCCTTACACGACGTGGGACTGAGGAAGGCAGATTAAACAATTTTATTTATTTACATGTCTTTTCTTCAGGCGAGTCGTATACTTCTAACTGCCTGTAATGATTGCCAAATTAGACAATTCCATTAGTTACTTCTTTCTACGTTTGCTGGGTTAAGTTAGGCCTCTTTCAGACAAGCGGTATCAAATGATTAGGAACCACCTGAACCATTTCAGTCAACTCGCCAGCCCGAAGGTACATGTGCTGCCGATTGCCAAACCACGTTATCCTGTCTGGTTGACTCACAAAAGACAATCTGGCATTGGTCCTTCACACCAGTCGTGCAGTTGATCCAACAGTTTACCATAGAAAATATTGCATTTGCAAGTTACTATGTGGAATAGTTCATTGAAGAGCCGATTAGTCCGTTTCCTCAACTCATGGAAACAAGTAATACACTTCCTTTACATTGGTGATATTTTTACCTTTCTTAAGTTGATTTAGACATTTTTTAAAATATTGTTCATGGCAATTGTGTTTGATTTGTTTATATATTTGTTATTTACATTAAATTTTTATCATTTTCTTCATACATTTCTATTGAATTTATCTGTTTAATTTTTATCATTCCTTTTCACTTCTTTTATATTTTTATACACATGTGTATTATGACACAATACTTGCAATATTTCATTTGTGTTATGTGTAGAGATTAGTGACCGTTAATCGATAGTTATTCAGATATCGTGAGATGTGGTCGGGTGTGATGTCTTTGTCTTCTTTGTAATTGTGCCATCCTTGCGTGTCGTGGCACTTGGGCACTCTCAACACGACACGCAAAGTTGGCACAATTACACAGAAGACAAACACTTTGAGCCCTGAAGATGATCTCAATAAAAGATCGAAACGTTGGCACGATAAAGAAAATGTTTTTCTGAAACCTACATCACACCCGACCGCATCTCACGATATCTGAATAACTGTGTTTGCTATGTTGAATATGTTCATATTTTTAATTTTTTTTTAAAGGTTTTTTGGAAGGTTGATGCAGAATACAATTCTTTCCTCCACTGCAACCTAAACAGGTCTTGTAGAAACCCCCCCCCCCCATAGAGTACAGCCATACATTTGAAAGTGCGCTATTCTTTATAACAAGGAGCACTTTCCTTGGTGCCTCTTCGTGGATCTCCTTGGGTATGAGAAAAGTCCTACTGAAGTGGCTGTTCCGTAAATGGGCTAACGCTTTATATTACAGGATATGTGTAATGTCTAAGGTTCCCCCTCACAGTATCAGCTTATTTCTGTCAGCTTTGCCCATCTGCTTAAGGTGGTATTTAAGAGGGCAGAGGCTGTTGTAATTATTGTTGTATGTATATTATTATGTTAAAATTATTCATTATTATTTATGTACAGTTTAAACTCATGCAGAATTTGTAACTGGGTATATTTATCCACCTAAATAAATAAATGGTTTATCACCAATGTCGTTTTTGTAATGTAATTATCTACAATGTGAACTGAACTCATCTACTTCTGAAGCTAGTATTATCTAGGATAATACCATGATTAAAGACCTTCAAAAAGCGGATTTGTACTTTTCTTTCAAAGCATTCTGCTATGTAAATCAAAACCAAGTTTTCCTCATCTAATTAAATTAATTCTTCCCTATAAGAATTATGCTTTTGTGGTATTTGGCAAGAGGCATGACTGTCATCAAACATAGAACTTATGTCCGATTAAAAACCAGTCCAGATAGCCTACTTCAAAAATATTCGGGAAGATTTTCAATGTAAAAAGGATTTAGTTGAATAACATTTGGCAATAAAATACATTAATAATGTTCTTTTTCCTTCATGTAAAAGCCTTAAACTGTTAATTATTGCAAACAAATAAATAGAATATTAAGAAATTCATCACCTGGTATTTTCATTTTTTATTCTTACCTTTGCTCTTAAAAATTGTTTTAAAAATGTTAAAAAACAATTTTTCCAGATTCGTTGTGCATTATTAATGGTTATGTGTGCTGGGTACATCGTTTTACCGGCACCAATAAAGTGTTTTTTCTTTTCTTTTTTTAAACATATTCGGACGAAAATTTTTGAAGCCCCCTCTCCGCTTCAATTGAAATTATTTTCTAACTTTTAATTTAGAACTATTCTATGCTTTTATTGTTTTTCCTTTATTTTCTTTGATAAATAGTACGATTTACTTGAATTAAACTGTGTTTATCGTGGTTATTTGATTATTTTATATTTTGAGCATATCGTGAACAACACTGTCGTGAGCTGTCAGCAGTTTTGAATGGTTACAGTATCATTGTGGCGTTTATGAGTTTGTCTCTTTTCCGGCGTTTTATTTACTATCGAGGCTTTTGTTGGTTGAGTTAGATTTTTCTACGTTCTAAACGAAAAGAGGTAATTATGATTTAAAAGAACTGTACACGGTATTTAAAAAGGCTCGGTCATCCGAGAAGGAACGTTTTAACAACGCGGGCCTCGCGCATAAAATAATTTTAAGAAATATAAGACTTTTTCTGTGCAAAGCTGTCCTGTCCCCCGTAGAAATTTTACCATTGAAAAATTAAAAATTTTCCTTATTTTTTGGCCCGAAATAAAGAAGGCAATGATCTGTAGAAAAACAGGTTCTGGATGAATTGCTTTCAAGATGCTCAAATGTTACGTTTTTCTACAATGAATAAAGGAGTTCAGTTTTAAATTCAAGCCGTAGTTATGAAAGAGAAGACCTATGGGTACATATTTATTTACTTTTGTCAGATGATTGCATATAAGGGTATACCGGCAGGTTCAGTGAGTTTACGACAGTAACATTCTTAACACGACCATCCACAAAACCCAGTATTTATTAACTGCCCTTTGGTATTGATCATCGATACGAGTTGTTTTACCAAGCCCTCCAAAAAGTCTAATAGTTTTGCTTTGGAGTGGGAATATAACACCAATTGAGCCAGATGTAAGTGGACACTGACCCTCTATGCGCTTATCGCTAAACAATAAGAGAACATTCAGATTCCGCTCTTAACTACTTTTTGTATAGGGGAAGGTAAGGTTCCAAAAATACAACAGACCAGAATATTAGTAAACATTTATCATTACTTATTTAGAAATCGTGAGATGCTGTCTGCTGTGATGTAGGTTTCAGAAAAACATTTTCTTTATCGTGCCAACGTTTCGATCTTTACTGAGATCATTTTCATTCTTGCGTGTCGTGTTGAGAGTGCCCCCCACTGAGCCCTGAAGATGATCTCAATAAAGATCGAAACGTTGGCACGATAAAGAAAATGTTTTTCTGAAACCTACATCACACCAGACCGCATCTCATGATTTCTGAATAATTATCGATTAACGGTCACTAACCACCACACATTTATCATTACACTGGCCCATCTTAATATTGTAATACTTACTTACCAATCGATGCGACAGTCCTTAGAGCAGGACTTCGACCTCCTCAATAAGTTTCCCCCATTCGCTTTGGTTTTCAGCCTTGAGGCGCCATCTCCTTATACTCGTCCGCTGTTGATCCTCCACATCGTCCAGCTACCTAAGATGAGGGTCTCTTATACTTGAGCCTCCAGGCTAGAGAAGTTTCCTTGAAAGCCTATCTTGTTGAATCCTCTCCACCCAACCATCTCAATCTTCCTTTCGTTATTTGGGCAACTATATCCGGCTCGCCAAATAATTGCTTTAATTCATCATTCTTCTGTACTTTCCATTCGTCGTTTACACACTTCAGGCTGAATATTTTTCTTAGTACTTTTCTTTACCATACCCCAAGAATGTTTTCATTTTCTTTACTCGATACCCATGTTTCACTAGCATGCATAACTATGGCCTTGTAATTGTTTTGTAAGCTATAATCTTAGCCTTGCGAGATAGGTCCTTGAACTGCAGAGCCTTTTTTACCACAAACAAGCATCTATTTCCTGCCACTGTTCTTGCCTTTATTTCTGCTATAACATCATTATTTCTTGTTACTAAGGATTAAAATTGTAATAAAACAAAAAGGCAAGTCAGCAAGCTCTAACTCTGTGGATGAGCTTAAGAATTAAGGCCTAATTTCCATCATATGTTTGAAATTCCTTACAACTGTTTTTAACATATTTTAACAACTATTCCTAACTTACGCTAAGACGGGGACTGGCTTACACAGGGTTTTCAAAAAATTTCTACATGCTCAAAACAAACCAGATGTCAATTTGGTTGAAGCAGACCGAGCTAAACGTGTTTAGATATTTGTGAACAGTGTTACGGAAGACTTTTTGTAGTCTGATTACTGATTTATATACACTCAAACCTGCAAATGCACATACACACATACAAACATGTGCTGAGTTAAGCCTATCACTTCTTGCAGTCCACCATTCCAACTTTTGTAATTTACAATAAATTACCATCAGGCATTGAGAATCTGGTGTTGGTAGTTCAGCGTCTTATCTATCCAGCCATTGAGGTTGGAAACTAGGTGCTATCAACAGCAGTCATTTCAGCCTCAAACATCAGTCTCTCATTCACACTCTCACTCATTGTTAAATACATATTTTCTATTTACACGCACCGGGGTGGTGAATACTCGATATTTCTCCATCACTCTCATCATCACATTCCAAAGATTTCTGTTATTTATGACCACTTGGAACGGTCTGTCAAAGTGGAGTTTTCCTCTCATTTTGTCATGTACAATTACAGCTATCTCATTTATTTCAATTTTTCTCCACAATTTGGTGATGGTTTCTACTTAGATCTGGCCTTATTTCCATGTTACTCTCAAAAGTCACCTTTTGTACATAAATATATAAGGGTGGAAGATAGAGTGCAATTTCCAGGAGTGTATGCATTCCCCCTGTTATGTTAAGACATGCTCATATTTGTAGACGCAGTAGCTGTTCTGTGATCTTCACTGTTTTCTTTGAATTAGCTTTGCCTCATGGTTACTCTCTCACTTCAAGTAGTGTATATATCCTTTTTTATTAAAGCAACTATCTCCCGACATGTCCTTTGGTTCCTTTAAGGATTTCATTTATATGGTCAAGGAAGTTAGGTCTGATTTTCAATTTCCTGATAGTTTTGAAGTACATTGCAATGTATTTTGGTAATCCATTTTTTCTGATTCAAATTTAATTGAGGCACGAGATCCCAGAATAATATTAGAAGTGGATTATTTTTTCCAAATTCTTTTTGGAATGTTGTTTGGTTAGTGTTGCCAACTTGGTCGTATATTGAAATTTACAAGTTTCTTCATTAGAGGGATATTACAAACCAGAAGCTTATTGGTGTCAAATTGTTAGATTCCTGGGGTCTGCAGGATTACGAACCGTTTGGTCCTTTCCAATTATTGATCTGCTTATCTTCCTTTTTATAGTTTGCCATTGACATGTCTGCTTCTTACTATCTTCACTTGTAGGTGTCTGTGATTCCTGTTTAGTCAAGTCCCTTTTATAAGTTTATAAATGGTGGGAGGAGTGCGACAATGCTATATTTGTCTGTCGGTGACTTTGGTGGATGTCATTAAAATAGTTAATAGTGTTTTCCTCAATGCATATAAATGAATTGTTTTATTCATTCATCATATCTCTTTTTTTATTATTAAAAAATATTTTTCAATGAGGTAGAATTTATTCACTTTAGCTGATCATTACTAACTTCATTGCAATTTACCATTGTTGTTAACCTTTAGGATTTTTACACAGTAAAATGCCGGCTGCTCCTGAATCGACAGATGTCGAGATGAAAAATGCCGACAGCCCTGCAGCAGAGGCAGTGGAAGTATCAGGGGACCCCGTTTGCATACAGGAGATTCGGGAGCATATTCGCCAGATTGAGAAAGCCGTTCAAAACAAAGAGCCTCGGTTCATCCTTCGTGTTCTCAGGTGATTTTGAAAACACATGCTAATATGCTGAATTTGTATTAATTTGAATATAACCCATTTCAGGTCTTTGCCAAATACTAGAAGAAAATTGAACGCTAATGTTTTAAGAGGGATAATATCTGGTTTCTACACACATTCAAATGCAGAAAAGGATGCATTAATGGCTTTTATCGACGAGCCGATGGAAATCGAAGGCAACAGTGGTCAGAGGATGAGGAGTACGAAGAGTTCGTCAACACCTCTGATCCCTGAAGTTGATGCCTACCTTCATCTATTAGTCCTTGTTAAGTTGATCGATGCTTCTAAATATCAAGATGCTGTTAAATGTTCTGACCAGCTGATGGCAAAGATTGTGGCACAGAATCGTAGAACTATTGATTTGATCGCTGCTAAGTGCTATTTTTATCATTCAAGATCTTATGAACTTACAAACCGTCTTGACAGCATAAGAGGTTTTCTCCATTCAAGGCTGCGTACGGCGACTCTTAGGAACGATTTTGAAGGTCAAGCTGTTATTATAAATTGCCTTTTGAGAAATTACCTCCATTACAATCTGTACGATCAAGCCGATAAACTTGTGTCCAAATCTATTTATCCAGAATCCGCGAGTAACAATGAATGGGCTAGATTCCTGTATTACCTTGGAAGGATAAAAGCAGCTAGGTTGGAATACTCAGAAGCTCATAAACATCTAGTCCAAGCTTTGAGAAAAGCACCTCAACACGCTGCAGTCGGGTTTAGACAGACGGTGCAGAAACTGGCTGTTACAGTTGAACTCTTGCTTGGAGACATTCCGGACAGGCAGATATTCCGACAAGCCCCTTTGAGGCGATCGTTGGCCCCTTATCTCCAGCTCACTCAGGCCGTTAGGACTGGTAATCTTCAAAGATTTGGCGAAGTTTTGGAAATGTTCGGCCCTCAGTTCACGTCCGATCATACTTTTACCCTTATCCTTAGACTCCGTCACAATGTTATCAAGACAGCTATAAGATGCATCGGCCTGTCATACTCGCGCATAACCCCAGCAAATATTGCAAAAAAGCTTGGCCTAGATTCACCCGAAGATGCCGAATTCATTGTGGCAAAAGCGATCCGTGACGGTGTTATTGAAGCTACACTCGACCCTGAAAAGGGTTACATGTCGAGCAAAGAAGTAAGCGACATCTATTGTACCCGTGAACCCCAGCTTGCATTCCACCAGAGGATCTCATTCTGCCTAGATCTCCACAACCAGAGTGTGAAAGCGATGAGGTACCCACCAAAATCGTACGGCAAAGATTTAGAATCAGCAGAAGAGAGAAGAGAAAGGGAACAGCAGGATTTGGAGCTTGCTAAAGAAATGGCTGAGGAAGATGATGATGTTTTCCCGTGATTGTTTTCTTAATAAAAATATATATTTAAAATGTCTAACACGGATTTTTGTTTAGTTTGTAAAACTTTAATTGATATTTCATTAAATTAAAAATTAAAATTTAAACTTTTTTTTAATTGCATGATTGGTATAAATAATAATAGTGGTAATTTAGCACTGTCCCTTTCCTTTTACCATACAGTATAAAATGTAAGTTTTTACCTTATTTCTCATATTGGCCGTGCATAACGTAACAGGTTATTTAAACCAATGTAAGAATATACTGCTAAACTGCACTCTAATAGATGTTTGTTCTGCTGCAGAACACCTGTGTCCTTAACTTCCATTATTTTGTTTTATTCTAGGCCGACTTATGTTGATGCTGGTTGTTGGTCTGTGAACGTTTGCCGAACCAGTATTGAATTACTTACTGGGCCTGTCTTCTCTCACAGGTGTTGGTTGGTCTATGTTTGGTTTTATTTTCAGGCCTTCGATTGAATATAGCACCTTGCTCAGGAAACTCAAGGGCATCCTTCCATTTTGTTATTAACTCATTCTAAAAGTCATACTTTCAAGTAGAATCAGAATATGCTTTTCCCCGATACACTAAGCTGAAGCAGGTGTGTAACTACAAGGCAGCACCCTTGGTCCCATTCTCAATTCAGTATACGCTCACTGCAAACATTTCATCAATCCCGATACGATACTTTTCACCTTTGCAACGATCCTTTCAGCAAACCCAGACCATTTCTCCTGTATGGTTGAATGATTAATAAATGGAATGTCAATGAAACCAAAACCTTAGATAATTTAAACCCTTTGCCAGTCTCTTCCAATCTACTACAACTGAGTTCCTCTCCCAATTTTGTGTTATTTTTAAGATTAACTTGGAAATCACACTCTTGACTCAAAAGACAGAACTAAACAAACGATATAAACTACTCAAAGGATTTCTTGACAACACATAAAAACATTCACTACAAAACAAACGTTTCATTTACACATACTATAACAAATTTGTTATATACAATCAAACAGTGGAGATCAACATTCGGAAGCGTTACAACTTCCAAAGAATCCAGTCCAAAATCCTCTGAACTATTGTCCACGCTCCCGTACCAAACAAACCTCCAGATCTCATTTATCCTCAAAATTGATAAAAGCCGGTACAGTAGTCCATCTTTCATCCCTAACCCTTCCCTACAATGCCTAAAGCACTAATGGCCTCCGATTTTAGTGGGGAAATGGAATAGATTACTTTGCCACTCTTATATATAATACTCAATTCAAAGAGGCAACAAAGTTGTAATATTATAAAAATTAATTATATCCTTTCCATGGTGACCTACAACTGAATAAAAGAATTAATTAAGGTTTTAGTTGAGATAAAAAAGTCAATGGCACGAGCGGGATTCGAACCCACGATCTTCGGCTTGATACGCCGCTGCTCTACCACTTGAGTTATCGTGACCTCGATCCACTCGGACACCAACCTCCCATCTCAACCGCACCTCTTGAATTTTCCCTCCTTTTTGGCATTTTTCGAGATATTAATATAGGATATTAATTACTGTGGCAAATATTTTTCAAAGATGCACCTGTTAAAGTGCGGAAAGTCTACTATTTTGCGACGAGTATAATTTGGATCTACCAGATAGCCTTTTTAAAAGTACTTTGGACTTGAATCTCCAACAAAATCTTCATTGTCCACTAACAACAGCTATTTCTTTACAAAAAGATTATGATTCTTTCTGATGCGATCTTATCACATTTGATCGCAGCCTCTTTATATTGGTACGTTAAAGGAGGATAACAATTTAAAAATTGAAGAACATCACAAGATGAGTTCCAGATCAAATTATTTATTAACATTTATATTTGTTCCAATACCCTAGAGGCGGAACATGGTTTTTGGGGTTTTAAAAAATTTTGTTTACTGTTTTATCAATTATTCTATAGCAATTTTCTCAATCACTTTTAAATTCATTCAGTGGGCATTTTAATATTATATATTAGTACATTGGGGGTGAGGAATAGCAAAAAGGATTTGAAAAATCTAAGTGGACATGGCACAAATAAGGTAGGGAAACGCTGATCTGTATAGGCTGAGGAATTGGGTCCATTTACAGTTTATAAATTGTTGGAAGAGTCCTGTGAAATCCTGAACTTGAACTGCTTGATTTTTTATTCTTTAAGTCTATTCAATCAAGTTTCAAGTTAAACATTTGTATTCTAATTTTTCTTATTACTTAAACTTTCTCTTTGGGTGAAGTATGGCTTGGGTGTCTGCCTCTCGATTCAACACCTGTTCGGCAAGGGTTCGATTCCAACCATGGAATTTTCTGAGATATTATTTTCTACCAAGCAGTGATTTCTCAAATCAAACACTGAATTTTGGCTGTACTGCTCAATACTAATACAAAAAAAAATAAAAAATGGCTGTTGTTTGTTATTAGGTGATTTCCACGTGAGATTACAATAAATACTAAGATTCTTAATTGAAGGGTATTACACCTCTTTCCAAATAAATAGAAGGTCAACAAGACATTTCCGAAAAACCTTTAAAAATAAAAATAATGTGCTATTTAAAGGGAATATTATTCATTTAAAAAAATAGATATAGTATAAACTATATTTTTAAAATATTTATATAAGAAAATGATAGGATGATAAAATAAAAAATGGAAAAGTCAAATGTATTTTATATTTCCATGAAAATGGGTATAAAAATAGATAATATTAGAAAATGGGACTGCGGTAGCTGAGTGGTTAACACGATAGATTCCCAGTCCTAGGTAGATAGAACCTGCGGTTGTGGGTTCGATCCCCAGGTCGCCCCACCCTTTTTCACCACATCCCTTCTACCAAAAACATACACATTTTGGAACTTCTCTCCTCTGGCAAATATGCAAGATTAGGGCCATTAAAAATTAATTTAATTTAATTACAAAATCTAATATGTTCGTGAGGAGCGATCAAGAATGAAATAGTTTAGAAAAACAACTTTTTCATTTTTTTTTTCTCGATGTTTTGACCTTCCCTTGGGTCATCTCAGGGCTTGGGTGAATTATAAAATCTCACAACGATCAATCAAATTAAGTCACAACAAATTCACACAACACTAAGAATAGCACCACACTTTACGACATAAAATGGCCCGAAAAAAGGTCAAAATGTCGGCAAAACAAAAAGTGTTTTCATAAACTACTTCATTCTTTACTGTTCCTCACGAATCCAACAATTATAAAATCTAAACTTTAAATATTTGAGTATTTGTTCAGCTCTTTTTTTTTTTTTTTTTTAACTTTTCTTCAAGAATTTATCTATTTTGTTGTATTTTATTAGGTGTATATATTATATCGCTTTTTACATGTAATATAAAAATATATATAGTGAAGAAAAACCTTCTATAAACAATTATACAATATACACAATTGACAAGGAAGAACATATTAAAAAAGAGAGTTCATCTGGCAGGTTGATCTTCACTTATTTTGTTAGATGTGTTTTGACTTTTGTGATCAAGTTAGAGGTTCATATCACAGATTTCAAAATAATTTCTTTAACGTTTAAATGCAAATGCAAATAAAACATGTTAAATATCAATAAAGCTCCATGACATTTTCTCAATCACCAATTTTGGTTTTACATCGAATAGTATCCATCTGACGATCTCACCAAAAGTGTTGTCGAAGACCGTGTTTTCATTGACAAACTGTGGAGAAGGAGGGTGCCTGCTCAACAAGTGTATTGCATACAACGTTTTCCACCCTTGCCAGTTGTTTTGAACGTAGAGTTCATCCAAAAGATTCTGTACACCGAATTCGTGAACCAGCTTTCGTGCCAGACCCGGCCGGTGTTCAAGAAGAGTGGTCGGGTACTGACCAGCGTTCAAATACCACTTTGTCGGCTGGTACTGTTTATAACTTTGTAGCCAGAGATGGATAAATTTCGAACCTTTGGCTGCCACTATCACCTTCAAATATAAAAACCAGTTATTAAAGTGCAATTTTTGACAAATTTAATCTTTTCCCCCACTTGATTTCCAACGTAGTCGTTTTCCGGGCAAGCCAGCGTCGTTTCATAATCGAAGAACTCATTGAGCGGTTTCAGAACAACTGAATCTGTATCGAGGTAAATCCCACCGAACTTATACAGTATATCAAGTCTCGCTACATCAGAGGCATGGTATACAGAGCTTAATCTTTGACCGTATACATGCGTCGGCACATCGTAGAATGTCGGCCTGATTTCGACATGAAAATAAACTGCGAGATTTTGTACTAACTTCCAGTATCGCCCGGCGCATACAGCTGTCGTTGCATTTGTATGTATCAAAATTAATTCAGGCGCGTGGTTCTGATGAAAAATAAATCTTTTAGTAAAAAAAATAAAAAATAAATAAATAAACAGCCATTTCCTCCTTGGAGTTAAAAAAAAATAATACCTTTATTACAGAAGTGATGGAAAGGAATGTGATAAAATCCAAACTGGAATTTTTAAATATAACATAATGAACAATGTTTGGAACGTTATTTTTTCCAGGGGCTTTCTCCGGGGAAATGAGAAACTTTTGGAGGGCAAAAATGCCAAAAAAGGCGACTATTATTATTTTCAATAAGCAACGACATTTCTGCATAACTGCATCCCATGCTTGTCCTGTTATCAGTGAAGGTTGCAGCAACATAAAGCAGAAAACTGATAAGAGGAGTGAGAAGCATCATATTTTGTTTACTGTTGAATAATCATTTTTTTTTTTAATTTAAAACTTTTTTTTATTAAACAAAACATATAAACGGTAAGTTAAATATCTTAAAATTTTATCTCATAAACTCTTCATTGAATATAATAGATAGATTTGTTTATATTTACAGTCTTCCTAATTTTGTACTTCCTGCCCATGTGATTGTTTAAATTATAACAATAAAACTTAACTCAACAGGTTTAAAAAAAAGGAAAACAATTTCAAATGCTGAAGGATGAGTTTTATCAGCCGTTCAGTATTTTCTTTAATTAAAGACCATAGCCGACTCAGTAGCTTAAAGAGCGTTGCAAGAAGGTCCTACTGTCAAAAATTTGACGTGAGTTTTCAACCGAGTTTTGTTCAGCTTTCACCCTGCATGACACAAGTTTCGGTTCCAGGATGGTGCAAAGCCTTTCAGCAAGTACACGTTTCGAAGCCACACATGCGGAGAACTGGATGCGCAGAACGTCGGCGAGGAAGTGACCGTGTGCGGCTGGTTACAGTTTCAAAGGATGAGCCAGTTCGCGATTCTGAGAGATGCTTATGGTTTCACACAAGTCATATTACCAGAAGAGGTGCTTACTACTCTGCTTTAGAGATTTAATATTGCCTCAGTACAAATAAAAGAAATTTTTTTATAAAAACTGATTGGTATGCCTGCGATGTTAGGAATCTAGCCTGATCATCTTAGTCTGACAGCAAGAAAGGCAGAGTTTGTAGAAAATTTTGCTGTTATTTGTACTGAAAATATGTCATTAATGTGAAAGTATCAACCATTTTTGTTTATTCACAAATAACCTGGGTATTGGTATGGTCTGGTTGAAGAATTGTTACTGCCAAGTTTTTGACCAATTTTAAGGTCATCACTAGGGCAAAACAATGTTAAATATTTCTACACATTCACAATTGAGTTTTTAATCAATTATTTCAAATTTATTTGAAGACCAACTCACTCCCAACGTAGCCAAGGACTGTAACACTGTTCAAAGTATCAAAACATAAATATGTTACAGGCCTTGGTAATATATTATATTGTTTGGGTAAATTCAAAAACACTTTAATTTAATGTGTGTGGTGTTTTAATCTAAAATTTTCTAGCATTGTATAAATTCATTTTGCTCGAGCATGGCAGCTAGTTTAAAGAAAAACTTTTTAGGTTATTTAGGTATTTTTTTTTTTAGTATTATGTTTTAGGTATTTATTTCATAGGCTAAAGTTTAGATTTAGTTTATGTTAGAATAGGAGTATGCTGGGCAGCGGTGCACCATATTATTTCAAGGCTCCACCGCTGCTTCGCCAAGCCGGGTCGGGGCAGAATATCGAGTACCCTCCGTCCCGGATTCTAGACAGAGGATATGCATATGTGATTGGGTTTGTATATAGGAGTATGTATGTATTTATTGTATGAGTGAGTGTGAGAATGACTAATTTTAGGGAACGGAAAGGCACCGAAATGACCAAAGAAGTCGATGGCACCTGATCTGAGCCCAACCCCGGAGTCGCTCAGGCACCAAGGTGGAGTGTTTCCCCTGATCCATCAGGGAGAGGCCAGAAGCCTCCTAGGAGGTCTCATAATTCTATTTTCTATAAATTCATTTTTTTTTTAATCTAAAATTTCTAGCATTGTATAAATTCATTTATTCACATCTCACATGTACTTGTAAAATTTAAACAATGCTTATAAATCCTAGGCCCTGAAAATGCTCAATAAAGAGCAAAACATTGGCACGATAAAGAAAATGCCTTTCTAAATCTACATCACACCAGACCGCATCGCACGATCTTCGAATAACTTTAATTTAATTTTTTTTTTAAATAAAAAACAAAAATTTAATTAATTTAATAAATAAAAAAATAAAATAAAAATCTGCTGGAACTAAAAGCATTTTTGAATTTACCTAAACGATATTATGTATTACCATGAGTAAATTCTTTAAGGAAATTTGCAACCGTCGATTAAAAACTGAATTGTGAATGTGTAGATATTTTTAACATTGTTTTACCGCGATGATGACCTTAAAATACACTGATGGGCAAATCTACTGCACCACCCAATTTATTTAGTTTAAAATTAAATCCCTTATCTTTTTACATTAGTTAGAGGTAATTAGGACCTATCGTAGTCAAAATAAGAAGTAAATAATGCTTTGTTTACTTTTATACTGATTAATCCGTTTGCATAAAAAATAGCATTATGTTCTTACATTCTGCTACGCCTAATGATTGCTTTCATTTAATCTTTTTTCTTTATTGATTTCTTGTGATATTATTCTTATACTTAAACCTTTTTTAATGGCTCCAGTCAGGCATTTGAGTATGACAGTGTCAGGGTGATAATATTATTAGGCTATACTATTATAGTAGGCTAATCACTGTACACTAGGAAGGGTTCTTCAGCACTACTGAGGAATAGGGCTTTATACTAGAAGGCGAGGATAGGGTCGATCTAGGTCTACAGATGGGAGAGACAATAGATTCATCCATCATCAGGCCCTTTGAAACCGCAGCATTGCAGGAAATGCGATGATCTGATAAGGCAAGTCCAAAATGTTTCAATTTCCTCCAGGTCTGTAAGAGGAGGGCTCAATGAAAATAACCCTCAGAGCCCAGCACCTAGTCGCTGGTCAGAATGGTTAAGGTATTGACACAATGACCATCATTGTAACATAAAAGTCCTGGCTTTGAATCCAGCGGCAGTGCATTCGAACCTGAAATACAAATGGCCTTTTTTTTTTTCAGAAACACTGGCACCGCAATGGATCATATAACTCATAGGTGAAATACCCTTGGGAAAAAAGGCGTCTACTATGTGTTATCTTGATTTTATTTTTTATTTTTATTTATTTATTTTTTACTGGGGCTTCCGACATCTAGGTCATTTCAGCCCCCAACTAAGTCTATATTCTATTTACCCTTTCAAACACTACATTCATACACACAAATACATCCATACAGTACACTCATTCCATTTAGTCAGTGGAGTACTTGATATTCCTCCACCGACCTATACTCAAACTAATCTAGATTGGGGTGGATGGAGTACTTTTATAAATATTCCGTCATCAACCTCGAACACACTCATACGCTCTCAACATTTGAGGGGCGATGATGACGTTATATTTCACCCTTACCCCTCGCCATTCACACTAATAAATACATACATATAGACACACAACACATAAGACATATTATATACAATAAAAAAAATAAAAAAAACAATTTCCCCTAAAAAGTGGAACAGGGGACCCAGAAACTCGCTGCAGTGCTCAAGTTCCATTTTCAGATTGGATGGCATGCCTACACGCTCCCTGTAGGGAGCCAATATATGTTTTCTTTATTAATAAATGAATTATGAACTATTTATAATGCTCAAATGATTTTGATTTCAGAGAAATGATCTTATAGAAAAGCTGGGAAATGCCTGTTTGGAAAGTGTAATTTTAGTGAAGGGAAAAGTGAAGAAAAGACCTGACAGTCAAGTCAATAAGGTTAGTCAGAATGATGATAATGTAATAATATTTTTTAAAGTGATTTTTTTATTTTAGAATATGTCTACTGGTGAGGTTGAAGTAATCGCCGATGATTTCACAGTCTTGAACCAATCTAATAACAAACTTCCGTTTTCTATTAGAGACTATCAAAAAGTATTGATTTAAACATTTAAAATGACATCATTAGTTTATCTATATTGTTTTTTAGGCAAATGAGTCTTTAAGAATGAAATATCGTTATTTAGATCTTAGATTTCCAAGTATGCAAAGAAATTTGCGCCTCCGTTCTGAAATTTTAATGAAAATGAGAAATTTCCTGGCCTGCGAGAGAGGATTCGTCGAAGTTGAAACTCCAACACTTTTTAAAAAAACACCAGGGGTATTTATTGGCAGTGCATTACCTTTAAAAATTAATTTTATATACTTTTATATTTTATATTCTAGGGCGCTCAGGAGTTCATTGTGCCCACTCAGAACAGAGGAAGCTTTTATTCTCTGGTCCAAAGCCCACAGCAGCTCAAGCAACTTCTAATGGTCGGAGGGATCGACAGGTGGGTGTATAATCGCAAAAATTTTTTCCCATTCTGGTGCATAAATCAAGTCAATTAGGTATTTTCAAGTTGCGAGATGTTATCGCGATGAAACTGCAAGGCCAGATCGACAGCCTGAATTCACACAACTTGACATAGAATTGTCGTTTACCAATTCCGAAGGAGTAATCAGCCTCGTAGAGGACTTGATTGTTGAAACTCTACCAAAAAATCTCAATTTGAAGTCCCCTTTTCCAAGGATTTTGTATAAAGAATCTATGGAAATTTATGGTACTGATCAACCCGATATTAGCATCACTTGCAAGGTAGGAGTTTAATTTTCTCATTTTATTTTAGTGTAAATTGGTTAATTTTTAATTGCAGATAGAAGAACTGAAGGGTATCGATCTTCCGAAAGATCAAGTGGCTAAATTTATCAAGATACCTGATTCAGCGGTGAAGTTTTTTTTTTTTTTTTTTTTTTTTTAATAATAAGTTATTTGAAGTGAAAATAACATTTTTTTTAACATCTAGGCGTTTTTGACAAACAAAACAAAAACTGATCTTTTGAAACTGAAAAACACAATTTCTCAAAATGCTTCTTTGAACATTTTGAAATATCCTGGTAGTAACTGGCAGAAGTTTGCTGAAAATTTGAATGGCTGGACTCATTCAAGTCAGGATTTAAAGGAAAACATAAATTTGAAAGAAGGAGAACTTGTGTTCCTTTCTGTCGGACCCAACGCCGAAGTGGTACGTGAAGTAGTAAATTAAAATCACAATGATTTATAAAAATGCGTGTTTTGGTTTGAATATTTTCCAACTTTGTAGCAATAATGTAACCAAATTAATATTTGGTTGTCTGACTAAATAAGACTTGAATGTTGAATTGTATTAATCATGTTGATAAATCCACAGAGAAATTTTCCCATAAAATTAATTTCTAAGAGTAAAGACAAAATATTCTGTTCAATCTCTTGTAGACATCATTTTGACTATCGGTATTAACATATAAAACATATTTAAATGTTTCTTTTCAGTTAAAACTTTTAGGAAAAATGAGGACTGTTTTTATTAGCTACCTTCGTGAATCTGGCTTAACTGGGACATGGGAAGATAAAACTGCATCCGGATTAATCTGGGTAGTTGATTTTCCATTATTTGAGAAAGGTGAAGACGGTGAAATAAAATCAGCCCATCATCCATTTACAAGCCCACACCCTGAAGATGTACATCTACTTGATGAAGATCCTTTACAGGTATTAAAAAAAAATATTTGACTGAAATTATTTTAATGATGATTTATTACAGGTACGAGGACTCCATTATGATCTCGTGATGAACGGTTGGGAAATAGGAGGCGGCTCGGTGCGTATTCACGATCCAGAACTCCAGACACGCATTTTAAAAGATATATTGAACATCCCGACAGAAGAAATGGAATATCTTCTTGAAGCGTTGGGATCTGGTGCGCCTCCTCACGCTGGAATCGCTTTGGGGATCGACAGGATCATGTCCATCCTAGTCCGTTCCAAGAGTATAAGGGATGTGATTGCTTTCCCGAAAAGCACAGAAGCGAAGGACCTCATGACCGGCGCACCTTGCCCCATCGCTACAGATGAACTTGAACTTTACAACATTGAAGTTGTCGGAGAAAAAGGAGAAAACAAAAATAGAACTGCTTTATGATATTTTGACAGGTATTTTTGAAATATTTATAGATAAGTCGTTAAAACAAAGAATTTTTTTTAAATTGATCGCATAATTTTATTTGTCAGAAACTAATTAGTCTGACCTGCTTGCTTGTTTTTTTTTTAAATGATACAAAATATACAAGATCAAAGAGGGAAAATATAATTCAGTACTGATAGTATCTGAAATAATGCATCGTATTTGTATATATGTGTATGTCATTGTTTTGTAAATAAATATTCTCTTTTAAATTACTTCTCTTCTTTTTTTGATTGATTGACTTTTCTCCGGTGATAAATTCAAAACAAATAATAAAAAAATTATTAGAGCCCTCAAAAATAATATTTGTAAAATAGATAAATTATATTCCACAGTTAGGCCTTGTCCACATGAAGCGTTTCTAACTTGCATTAGTGAAATACTGAAGTTCAAAGTAGAGCGTACACATAAAAACGCTTAATTAAGCCCAACGTGCATGTGAACAATTTGAGATTCCCCTCACTACGCACGTTTCACCCCTGAGACGAGATACAAAGTAACTAATTGGTCTGTTCAGATCAACGCACATTTTTTTTCGATCATCGTGATGGAACCTTGCTGACACTGATCTCCTGGTCGACAAAATTGAAAAAAAAAAACAACCTATATTGTGGAAGTGGAGTGTAGCAATTATTATATTTATCACAGCTTCTTCATTTCTATGTCACAACCATCACAAATGACTATATCCCACCAACTACTATGTTCTTCACATTCCAGTGATTAAGAGGTGGTTTTACCGTGGAGCAGTTCAGCATCACATTATGATATGGAAGATCTGGAGCTTTTTTAAATTTGTCTAATGTCTGGAGCTTTTAACTTGTTCTCCAATATATTTTTAAAATCAATTAAAGTGTTGAGTTGAGATAAAAAGTCAGTGTCACGAGCGGGATTCAAACCCACGATCTTCGGCTAGATGCGCCGCGGCTCTACCACTTGAGCTATTGTGACTTCGATCCACTCGGACACTAACTTCCTATCTCAACCCCTTGAATTTTCCCTCCTTGAGCTCAGGTGGTAGAGTAGCGGCGTATCTAGCTGAAGGTCGTGGGTTCGAATCCTGCTCGTGACATTGACTTTTTTATCTCAACTAAAAACCGTAATTAATTGAAAGATATTGATTGGTCAAGCAGACCACGAAAACTAGTGAATTGAAGTATTTTTAAAAGATTAAATTCACTAATTTCGTGGTTTGCTTGACCAATTAATATATTACAATTAATTAAGGTTTTTAGTTGAGATAAAAAAGTCAATGGCACGAGCGGGATTCGAACCCACGATCTTCGGCTAGATACGCTGCTGATCTACCACTTGAGCTATCATGACCTCGATCCACTCGGACACTAACTTCCCATCTCAACCCCACCTTTTGAATTTTCCCTCCTTTTTGCCGAATTTAAGGCTTTAAAATTCATCTCAAACTTCACTAAAGCTCTCCGTGGGCATTTCATTTGTCATCGAGAATCCAATCCGATTACACGACATTTGAAAAAAAAATGGCAAAAAGGAGGGAAAATTCAAAAGGTGGGGTTGAGATGGGAAGTTAGTGTCCAAGTGGATTGAGGTCACGATAGCTCAAGCGGTAGAGCAGTAACTTATCTAGCCGAAGATCGTGGGTTCGAATCCCACTTGTGCCAGTGACTTTTTATCTCAACTAAAATTAATTGTAATATTTTTAAAAGGTGATGCACTTTTGTTCTGAAATGTCAACATTATCTATTGTTTTACGAGTTTTTCTTCTGGCAAGATGGAATCCCTGACACACTGAGGTCTTGATAAAATATCGCCCTTAATCAAGAACAAAAAAATCTTCAAGTGTTTATTGATATTCTAAAATAATTGAAAAATTTTGGATTGTAATCATATAATTTGGGGTAGAAAGTAATGAACGTACTAATTGTGAATTTATCTCTTGGAATGGGATGGACTCAGCACTTCTTATGTCACTGTCTTCTTAGTTTTTAGCAGCAATAGAGACACCACAAACAAACAACTTCTTAGACTTCCATCATAAAATGGCTCTTGTCCAAGTGTTCCATGTGTTCACCACAAGCACCTGTTTACACGCAATACATTGCGCGATTCAATGACCAATGTGTACTAAGCCTTAGAAGTATATGGTGATGAATTAAGTTTCAGGTTTCCCAAACGACATCATTACAGTTGTTGGGTTTTTCAACTGCTGGAAATTTTGTTGCAGAGGGTCCGTTGCTTGAGTTAGCAGTCATGGTACAATGTTGCTTTGATCCACAAAAGTTCATATTCTATCATTTTGTCTTTCAACTTTTAATCTAATAGAAAGATTTCTCCAAATTTGTATTTTGTCCATTCCTGTTTTTCTTTAGTTTGTATTTTTCTGCTGTCAAATTGCTTCATACTCATTCGCACTATTCTCTAGACCTCAACTAGGGGTCCAAATGCAGATAACGAGAAGCCTACTGTATGTCGTATTTTGGGGGCAAAGAGACTTTTATCTTGGAGAGTTGGTAATTCATTAGGAATTAGGATTGGCTTTTCTTTCAAATCCGTCATTGGGGCTTAAAAAAGTAATCCAGGTCTTTACTTTTGAAAACAATGTTTATTAACTGCTTATAATCCACAAAGGAGGTATAAAAGCCAAAGCTAGAACTCCTCCGAAGTTTTTTTTTTTTCTGACCTTACTTTATGCATTGGCCAAAGAAATAACTATATGAAACCCGATGAGGCGGAGACTACCAAAGGGGCCAGGAGGATGACCAAAGCCGCACAAGCCAACGCAGCGGGACTAGAGGGCTTTATAAAAATCAAGCGCCCCGACAATGACCCCCACTCGCCCCCCGACCACAACCACCACACCCAACCTAGCCTAATCCTCTAATTTAAATTTCAATGCTACAAGACACCAGAAAATCAAATATATGAGTATATACATCTATATCATTAGTAACAATTAAAGTGTCCAAATTGAAAGGCCGTTCAACACTTATACCCAGCAATATTCCGTAATAAATCAGCTCTCTGAACTTCGTACTCATTGCAGATCATAATTATGTGTTTGTGTCTAAAGTGTCCTCCGAAGTTTGCTCACTCCATAAAACCTAACAAAGGTCCCTCTCCATTTTTGCAGCCAACAACTGTTCCATTCAAAATCCAACTTCTAGCTCATCACTGGTCACTGACCTAACTCTAAACTCTAAGCTAACTGACTCAATTTCAATCACTCAATTTTTTATCGATACCGATGCATTTCGAGGCCAATCTAGCTCCCCTTTCAGCTTATTACTCATTAGAGTAATAAGCAACACAATGAAAACTAATAAAAAATTGTTGTTTCTTATTACTCTAACGAGTAACAAACCCTGCAGCAATAATTTTTGCATAATATATTTTTTTTTAAACTACAGTCAATGTTTAAAACGGTCTCTTTAAACTCTTATCATTATATTTAGTTTTTAATGAATCATGCTTTACTTTGAAAGCATACAAAATTGTAAAACAGTTTAAATGACTAAGCCTTAATTGGTTGATACTAAAAATCAAACTAAAGCCACCCACAAATCTATTGTCGCCTAAAATTGTACGGTATTTTTAATTAATGGTTATTATTTTTATAGGTTTCATTTTTCCTTTAATACAATAAAAGTGAAATACACACATAGAACAGTATGACCATAAGAATTACACAAATTGGACCTGGAAACAGCAATGTTAAGTGAAACTACATTCAGATACTGAGTTATATACATCTAAATAAAAACAACAGAACCGACATTACTTTACTTTTTACACCAAAGTAATTAAAAAATAAAAAGAAGGGTTTTCAAGAAGTAAGTTAACAAGGAACAGAACTGTTGGTACAGGTCCATAGGAGCGACTCATCGACGTTATAATGAAACAGCACAATCTTCAATGTTAAATGAAAATTGTGTTGTAAAAGTCATCAAGCATCGTAAACTGAGATGAGAACCAAGGATCTATGTTTTGAGGTAAAAAGGTATTTCAGGGATGGCCGTCATGGTGTCTTAGGCGGTTAGAGCTTAAGGGTAAAGTAATAAAGACTGTGGGTCTGAATTTCATCCGTGACATTGACCTTTTTATCTCATTTTGTGTATGTAAAATTATATCTTCTGTATGAAAATATACTGTGTTGAGATCGATGTCACCCGGAATTTGTATTCATCAGGTAGAAGCCATCGTTATGAATCACAGCATAGGAATGTTTACTTTGGTTGGTCGAGAGGTCCAGTCCACTTGATATATGCTTATTGAATTTTTACGAATTCAAATTACAGAAAGTTACAAGGTCCACATTATTATTTAATTCTGAGACCTCCAATTGGCAAATCCATCTCTTTGCCTCCAAAATACAACATACATTTGACTCTTGTCAGAGGTTTGCCCCTACTTGAATTCTAGAGAAGTGTTAATCAATTTGACCTCAGAAGAAAAACAGGAATGGACAATTAGAAAGTTTAGAAAAATCTTTCAAATAGCTCAAAATTTGAAAGACAAAATCAGAATAATATCCAATAGTGGATTTAAAAACATCGTAACATGACTATTAACTCAAGCAATCGACCCTCTGCAAACAAAATTTCCTGTAGTTGAAAAACTCAACAAAACAGCCTACTATAACGATGTTCTTTGAGAAACTTTGAAGAGCAAACTTCGGTAATTTATCACCATTATAAATTTTATCTTTTTTAGGCCCCTAATAATTTTTTCTCATTTGTTTTTATCCAATCCTGTTGAAGTCTGTATGTACATATGCTGAGTAGAATAAATTTTATGTACATTACCATACATTATATATATATCTTATTGGAAGAACCCTAAAAAAATGTGTACATAAGATCATACATAACATAAGACGATAGGCACACATTTACGATACAGAAAGCATCTGATTGGTACGCAGATAGAAGAAAATGCTTCAAGCCTGAAATTCGATGCATTTTCTATTATCCGCAGTGTTGCTTGGTACGTATATATTTTTTTACGTTCAGATTGTTTATTTTACAAAGATATTTTACATTTTTTCCTTTGTGAGGATGTACAAGGACCAATAAATAATGATATGTAGAAGTAAAACTTTATTTTTAATAGTTAAAACACTCGTATAAAATCAATTTCTCTTGCCGGTACACCTTAAAGTGATTTTTTTCCATAAGACTATTATTATTTTATACTTAAAAAAACCTTTAATTTAACGTTTAATTAATTATTTCAAAAACAGAAAAAATCATTAGGCATACTAAAGTGAGGCCACATGTTCACAGTAAAAAAAAATTTTCAGCAACTATTCACATTTTACAATATCTTCCACTGCACGTAAAGCAATTCGGACAGTCTTAACTGATCTCTGAACACAATTTTATTCCCTGTGTGTGTGTGTAATGATTTACAACTTTTAAAACAAACCAAAAATATACGACAAGAGTGTATAAATTTGACCGGCGTGCTAAGCAAGACACAAAAAAAAAAATTTTTATGTTAACCCAATGAGGTTTTATCACAAGGGTGGGTTAATTTATCACAATCTTAAATACTGACAAAGAAAAAAGAAACTACATTAACAAAAATAATTTTTTATGTTTTATATTTGTTTTTACATTTTTTAAATTGTTCATTTATTGTTACCTATCTTCTTTCTAAAACTTTTTTAAAATTATTGTAGACTCATTTTTAGTTTCTTTAACAATACAAAATCAGTTCAAAAAGCAAAACAAATAATCTTTTAAGAAGTTGAAAAATTAAGAAAAATCTAATATATACACTAGTCTACTGTTTTTTTATAGTATACTTTTTCTTTTATTTAAAACTAGTTATACCCTCATTTTAATTATAAAAAAAATCAACTACATAAAATTTAGTAAAATAAACACTTTACCATGGTTTTTTTTAAAACCTAATATAAGTGCAATAAGTACTCTAAAATTCTGTTTAAATAATAAAAAATGACAATAAGTAGAAAAATAACCAGGATAGTTCCAACTGAGCTCTGCGTCGTCAAAACAAATACAGCTGAGATCATCGTCTTTAAGGATTTTCTTAAAAAATATATATATTCAACTATGCAGTTTATCATATAATATATACAAGACAATAAAGAATCCAATTTTTATAATGCTGTACAGAAAATGTGTTGACGATTTTTTGACAAAATTTCACGGGATGTATTGTGCATTGACAAGCGAATTTGATACAAGAAAAATAACTTGGAGATGTCACCGTAATTTCTAGGAAAAAATTGTGCACTCTTTCTAAAAAACATTCCTTTTCCCACCCGCAAATCCAATCACATATTAAAACATCAAAAATATCACATTTTCTTTTCTTTTTCATTAAACAAGCCTAATCGAGCTTTTTACAGTGGAAAGCAATTGCTTCATAAAGTGTATAATAATTAAATTATTCAAAAATGACCCTTTATACTGAATGTATATTTTTAAATACTTCCACCATTATTAGTACATTAATAAAACTACATGTTTTTATTATAGATTATTAAACAAATAAGTTGTTAAAAACTGTATAAAGTTCTTACGGATAAATATGCTTAGTTAGTCCTGACAGCTGCTGTTTAAACATTATCGACAGATTGTAACACAATTGAAAAATAAATTAACTTTATTTAAAAAGATAAAATAAAACCGTGTAACAAACTTCTACACAAATTTACTAGGATTTTATTGAAAATAATTCGAAGCGACTTGTGTTTTCACATTTACAATACGTTCATGCTATCGATTCTCAATTATATTTTTCAACCTCCAACGGATTGGAGCAGTATGAAGCAATCTCATTCCAACAAGATGAAGCAGATTAGAAAAGCTTGGACAAAAAACGGTGGGACTGTTAAAACAAAGGGAAGATAAAAATCCCCAAGATACACACATCGTGAAAATCAAATATATACATACAATTTATATATATTATCTTTTTCTTATTCAGAGTAAACTGGTACAATATATTTATATATATANTGCTTTTTGCATGAAGGGAGTACAAACAAGTTCATTTTGAACTACCCTGGTTCTTCGAGAATATGCGGGATTGAACAAAACATATTTTGGGTCGAGGCTCAAATCCTTTTAAAAAAATATATATTAATAATAATAAATCAGCAAGTGACAGAATAATTTGCTCAATATTTTTTTGGGGGAGTAAAATCTATTAGGAACACGAGAGGAAAGAAAATATAAGCCTCCACCCAAGTCTTAATTCATTTTTGTGGAAGTTTCTTGAATTACAATTGAGGAATGATTTTTTTGTTTTTGTTAATCTTGAATTTAACCTGAGTCGTCATTAGTCGGAAGCCAGAAGGCCATGTTGGTGCAAGCCGAGGCGAGCATCATGAATTTTGGGTTGAACTGGACACACTGTACGGGGCCGGTGTGGTCCGCGTTGAGTACACAGACTTTGTAGCCGGTGTCCGCATTCCAGACATGCACCCTGCCGTCAGTGGATCCACTAAATATAAACTGTGAGTCCGGACTGAACGACGCCTCGATCGGGATGCCCTTGTTGTTGAGATGGCCGGTGAACGTTTGCAGAGGAGTGCCGTTGAAGGCGTCGATCAGCCTAATCGTCGATCCGTTGGTGGATATCAGGACGGTCTTTCCGTCCCTGGAAAATTTAAGGCCCGTCCAGTCGCACTCCTTCTCCTGAACATGTTCGAACGTGACAAAAGGCCCTTTGTCAAAATATCTCAAATCGTAGAGTTTGATGCTCTCTGAGTTGATACCGATGGCAAAGATGAGGCCTTCGGGGTCATAAGCTGTTATCGGCCTTCCTGTCAGATGCACCATGCCTTGGCAGTGCGGAGACCTCAAGTCCCAGAGTCGGAGCGTCTTGTCCAACGAACCAGACAAGAAGGAGTCTTCGATGGGGGAAATGCACATCGAGACTACTTTCTTCGTGTGGCCCGGGAAGTACCTGATGTACTTATTGTCGTGAAGGGACAGATATCTTATCGTGTCGTCCACCTTCGTCGAACTGTGGATCGCCGTGTTCTTGGTGTGGGTGAAGTGGATCAGGTCCACGCCGTATTTCTTGCTGTTCACAGTCTTGGTGAGGGTGCCCTTTTCGCAGTCGTATATAACGATCTGGTCGTCGTCGCTGCATGAGATGAGAGCATCGCCGTTGGGGGAAAAATCGATCCCTTTGATTTTATCACTGTTCTCCCTGAACACTTTCGCGACGCAGAAACTGCGGACGACTCGGTCGACGAGCTTCATCCTCAAAACACCGGCCGAGTGCATAAAAAAGGAATAACGCGGTTGACTGGATCCTGCGGCCTCAACCGATAAAGTCGACCCTTTTCACCTAGATCAGCCTTTTTAACTAACAATTTTCCCCGAAAAATAGACAAGCAATCAGCATATCCTGAGGGTAGATAAGCACAATGGAGGAGACAACGCAAACGGATCGCCTAGAAGATCGCAGCACTGCCCAACCGATTCTTCCTCACCCTATCTAATTCCCCGAAGGATTTAAAAAACAAAACAAAAAAATAAACTAACGATTCTTACAAAAAATACTGATAAAACTATATTAAAACACTAGAAGTAAAACTTTACATACAATTTAAACCGTGGAATACAGCAAACAGTGAAAATAAAAATGGCTGTTACTGATTTTCAGAATCTCCGCTCATGTTGGCCATCGTCGCTACAAAATAAAAACACAATTTTTCCCATTTTTTTTTAAACCGTCTTTCAAACTAAAATGGCAAAATTGTCATTTTTGACTAAAGTGGTTTTTGAAAATTTTCAATCGATTTTGTCACGTTTCTCTTCTGAACTTGTCGTGCAACCTTTCAGCGGTTTCACGTGTGTCCACTTTTCTTGTTCTGCCGGTTGCTGAGAGTTGAGACCTGCTGTGCCACTTTCTCCCATATCAGAATCAGTTCATCATTTTTTTTTTTTTAATATCACCTCCGGCCAGTAGATCGGGAAAGAATTCGATTTCAAAACTTTCTCTTGAACCCGTCCATTCTAGAAGGTAGGACTTTTCTTGATTATTTCCTACCATTTTTTCCCAGTTTTTAAAAGATTCCAGATGGACCGTTTAACACCCAGTGTATGTCAGTTTGAAAATTTTAAAACCACGTTAAGTCCACCCTAGATGGATAAAAATATCCTGTACCACTCCAGCATAATTATTTTCAGTGCAAAGACATTGTCCTCAGGACCCTCAAGATTGCCTAATCATTTCTTATATATTTTTTGTTTTATTTGGTTTACAACAGAACTTTTAACTGGCATGATATATCATGCCTTTCTAAACAAATCATCATTGATACTACTATATTTTATTATTAATTCATTCACTTTTGGGCATTTTAATGTACAAAGCCTCAGAAAAAAACCCATTGATAATTTAAATATTATCATGTGACAATCAGCTAGAGTTTCTGCCTGTCTCTGAAACTTGGTTAAAACCATCGGTGAACTCAATTCATCTGGATAAGTTTTGATTAGAAATAACAGGCTTTGTAAAAGCGACAGACGAATTGTAATCCATTCCTCTTCTATGCTTTAAATAATCATACAACTATATTCATCGAAATAGAAAGCAAAGCGGTATAGTAATTTATTTGAGCACTAAATATAAGTTCACTAATTTCGTGGTCCGCTTGACCAATTAATACATTACAATTAATTAAGGCTTTTAGTTGGGATAAAAAAGTCAATGGCATGAGCGGGATTCGAACCCACGATCTTTGGCTAGGTACGCCGCTGCTCTACCACCTGAGCTATCGTGACCTCGATCCACTCAGACACTAACTTCCTATCTCAACCTCACCTTTTGAATTTTGAGATGGGAAGTTAGTTATGTTAGTTAGTTAATCACGATAGCTCAAGTGGTAGAGCAGCGGCGTATCTAGCCGAAGATCGTGGGTTCGAATCCCGCTCGTGCCATTGACTTTTTTATCTCAACTAAAAACCTTAATTAATTGTACTAAATATAAGTTTAAAATCATGTCAACTTCGTCCCCAAGTGATATCATCGAGTACATCATTATTGAGGTTTATGTTAAGAATAACATATATTTGATTGGGTCTATTTAAAGGCCTTCTTCTCCTGTAACTGATATTACTAATTTTGAAAATCTATTCTCTAATTATTCCTGCTTGATCAAGTCTTTATCTTGGGTGACTTTAATGTTAAAATGTTGAAAACCAATGATCAAGTGATTTCAAAATTGATCAACATGTGTTATCTTCAGTAAATTTCTCGATTGTACCTTCAGATGCAACTCATGTATTACCTAGTTCTGGATCCGTGCTCGGTCTTTGCATAGTTAAATAAAATATTAAACTTTTAATGTTCTGACACCCAATGTGTCTCTAATCATAGGTTTCTGCACTGCTGCTTTTTCAAGAAGTCCTCTTAGATTTATCGAATATTGTAAACTTAGTGAACTTCAACCAGTTCTTACACATTGCTGTCGACAAATATCCCATTCTTCAAAGCACTGATGTGGACTCTATGTTGAATTTTTTTAATGGCAATATTCCATCTAAACTGCTTGAAAATAAATAAGGATATTGCCAACTTTATAGTATTTACTTTTGATTGTGAATCGTTTGTGTCGATAAAGGCTTTGCCAACCCCCTTCAATCTTTCAGGCATGAAGTTTTCAACTTTTTACAAACACTGCATGATTTGATCAAACTAATGTGATTTAACATGATCTTGTTGCTATCCTCTTTTTCTTCTCTCTTTTATACTTTTCCTTTTATACTTCCTTCCCTTTATTACTACTTATACTAATTTTGTTAATTAATTAATATCTCTTGCATAATATTTTCTAAACTTTTGTTATTTAATTAGTTTATATTTTTCTACTCACTGCAAGGGACCAAGCCCTATTGTGAAAAATGTTTTTTTGATAAATATGTTTCTATATATTTGGTGAACCTATCCTTTTTGACAGTACTTTAGATTAATCTTTTATCTTTTTTAACCTTTAATGAACTATCATGTTTCAATTTATATTAAATTTACACACCTCTTATATCTGCATGGTCCTAAACTTTCTTAAACCACCGCCTCCCTAGAATTACTGCGCTAGGGATGATTAAATTTAGATCCAAAATATCATGGTTCTCTTCCTGGAATACCTTGGCTCAACAATGTCGGCTCAATGCTAATTTTTCCCTAGACAATTTTAAATTTTAGCCGCTTTTACATTCTAAATTAGTTAACAATATTCGTACTTCTCGCACAGAGAGATGTCTGTTTCATGCTTAAAATTCCTCTAGATTTTTGTTGTATAAGGATCTCAATATTGGCCATCCCTTCTTTAACATGCCACAAAATTCTAAAATGTCATTCGTTCCGTTAGCTTGCTAGTTTTTCAAAATTAAAATTAGGTGCTAGTTGTTTTGTCTTAATAACAACTTTACAAGAGATGACAGTTTCAACATATGCTCTTTATGCAACAGGACGCATAATAGTGATGTTTTGTATATTACCAAGGGCACCCAGAATTGATAATATTTATTATTTTAAAAAAATGTGAAGAGAAAGTATAATAATCCACTTTATTCTTGTTTGAATTATATGTTAAATTAGTACAATATAAGGAACATTGAGCCACTAATTGATTGTTTCCGATCATTTTGGTCTACCCGCCTCGTTGTTTTCATTTTCATAGCATAACAAACATAAAAGCAAACCGACTGTACAAAACATCTCACTAATCCACCACTAAAAAGATGGTAAGAATCTAAAATGCATCATGCCAGCAGTGAGATTAGGCATACTGAATTATTACTGCTTACTAACAATTAATCAAGCTTCATCATCCTTCGGATAACATCTCGAATGATATGCTAATTTATGCATTAGACCAACTCCTGGTTTCACTATTGTCTGTATTGTTTAATTGTTATATTCATTTAGTGCAAGACTTTAATATTGATAGGATAGTAATTTTAAAATACAAATGATTTATTGAACTGACATCAACACCTTGTTTTTATTATTTGTTGTTTTTAGATCTCTGTTGTTTAGCTTATTCTAGGTATAGCAAACGGGGGTATAAAACAAAAAGAACATAAACCAGCCCTAAATAATATTTTTTTTCTATACAATTAACCTGAAAATTTTGTTTAGATTTAAATTCTTATTCATTTACTTTTTCCTCCAGTCCAGCTTTGTTTTTAACCAAACCAAAATGGACTCGTCAATGAGTGCCAAAGAAATAAGAAACCAGTTCATCAATTTCTTTGTGAAGAAAAAGAATCACGAATATGTCCATTCTTCGCCAGTCATCCCACACGACGACCCAACGCTCCTTTTTGCCAATGCCGGCATGAACCAGGTGAGTTCATAAAATTACGGTTGTAGTTTGTATCTAATGATGTTTTCGTTCAGTTCAAGCCGATATTCCTTGGGACGGCAGATCCAAACAGTGCTATGGCGACTTGGAAGAGGGCTGTGAACACTCAGAAATGCATCAGGGCAGGTGGTAAACACAACGATCTCGACGATGTCGGCAAGGACGTTTACCACCATACATTTTTTGAAATGTTGGGCAATTGGTCTTTCGGCGATTACTTTAAGGTAGAGTGGAATTCGTTAATAAAGGTGCCGGTTACAATGATAATCTGGTAATAGCGATGAATTTTGAAAGGAAAAACATGTCCTTTGATTCACTTATAACGATTTTCTGAGATTTCCTTCCCTTAAATTTCCTGAATATTAACAAATAACTAACGTTCTCTTGTTTTACTCAATCGAATCTTGAATTTGTGGAATCCCCACAGGACCCAGCACAAATTTTAATTTTCCTTGTAACTTAGTCTCAGTCACCATTTTGGTTTCTTTCATCTTGACAAGTTTGAGTTTAAAATGTCGAGTAAAATTCTATCGTAAAAGGATTTGAACTTAAACAGCACATAATCTGCAGATTTCTAGATTTGGAGAAAGCTTTTGACAGTTTGGTACTTAACGCTTATAATTCAAATTAAAAAATATGGAACTTATTTATGCCTTTACTGCTCCTTATCTTCATTTCTCAAAAGCAGGTCATTGTATGTTAAAATTAATGAGCGTACCTCAGCGACAAAGCAAATTAAAGCAGGCACTCCTCAGGGCTCGATCCTTTCACCTGTGCTTTTTAATATATACTTAGCTAGCGATGTTTGCTGATGATACGGCAAAGTTGATAGTATAAAGGCGCGCACAGAAATTGAATTGTATATGGAAAAATGGAAAATCACTTTAAATGCAATGTGAAGCAAAAAAATTTTCTCTGTTTTCCACAAGACCCCCTGGAGTTGATCATCAACAATCAAACCATCCTAAGTCCAAGTCAAATATCTTGGAATCCATACAGATAGGAAACTTACCTGGAACAAATACATAAAGATAAAAGTAGCTGAAGGATGTGCCAGAGTGCTGAAACTCTACCCATTGCTAAATAGAAAGGAACAAGCTGAAAACAAAATTCTGCACATTGATATCCCAGGCAATATGTCACCTATATTATATGGAAGTGAGGTATGGCAAGCTGCAGCAATTATGAAAATAAATAAGAGTCCAAAAACTGCAAAACGATATGTTCAGAATGATGGTACATGTGAAACTCTCAACTTCAACGAGAATTAAACTTCCCTAGCACCAAAGAATTTATTAGGACCAAATTCAAAGTTCCACGCTAAGCTAGGTCTCGTAAATGGTGCCATTCACAACCTGGGAAAAAAGGTGAAGGGTCAGGCTCAAACCCGATTCGTTTTAAGATATTCTCAAGTTGTGAGAGCGCTGTGAATTCATTCCAGTCAAAAAGTTAAATCATGAAGTTGATTTATAAATGAATATAAATTTTCATAACTTTTCCCTGTGATATCTTTTATTTATTTATTATTTTATGTACAACTTGAAGAACCTATGAAATTGGTTGAGTTTGTTAATTTTTTGTAATAATTAAAAAATAAATGTAAAGAAAAGTATAGAGAATTTTGGGAAAAAAGTCTTATTGTTCTAAAAGCATACAAATCACTATAACTTATTATTTTATGAAAAAATCAGTGAATTAATGATAATCAATGAGGTAAATATATTATTTCTACAAGTTATTGTTTAAGTAATAATATGTGTGTAATAAATATGTAAATCAGTGTAATACACATGTAATAACTGGCCTTTTTTCTTTTAACCTAACAATTTTTCTAATATGTACTCTTTCTTTTTAAATATAAATTCGGGTACAATGAATTTTTGGTGTAATGATCTGATTGCCTAAGTCTCTTGAAGATCGTTGTAAGCAAATACCACTGTATTTTTATTGTTTTAAAATTGTTTTAAATATTTGGTTTTTGTATAGAAAGAAATATGCACATGGGCTTGGGAACTCCTGACGGAAGTTTTCCACTTGCCGAAGGACAGGCTTTACGTAACTTATTTCGGTGGGCATAAAGAATCAGGATTAGAGCCGGATGAAGAGTGCAGGCAAATCTGGCTGAAATTGGGGTAAAATAGTTAGTAAATTATAAATTGCCTGTTTGGATAAATAAATTTAATTTGTAGAATTCCGGAGTCACACGTCCTCCCGGGGAGCATGAAAGACAATTTCTGGGAAATGGGCGAAACAGGTCCATGCGGGCCGTGTTCCGAGCTACATTTCGACAGGATTGGAAACAGGGAAGTGCCACATTTGGTGAACCAAGATGACCCAGATGTCTTGGAAATATGGAACCTTGTGTTCATCCAATACAACAGGTAAATTCCATAAACTTCTACATTAGGGATGTCGGTGGCCACGAAGATTTAAGAATTGACACAGAGCTAATCACTAAGTTAAAGGTCCCGGGTTCGAATCCAGTGGCCTTGCATGGGCTTTTTTTCAAAAATACATGAGGATTCAAATAAATAAAAACAAAAAAACCTACATCAATTAATTATATAATAATGTTGATTTTCTATTTACAGAGAAACCGGTGGTAGTTTAAGGCCCCTTCCAAAAAAACATATTGATTGTGGCATGGGTTTTGAAAGGCTTGTTTCAGTCATCCAGAACAAAAGATCCAATTATGATACTGACATATTCAAGCCGCTTTTTGATGCAATTCAGAAAGTATTGTTTTTTAAAACTTTTCTTTGTATTAATTTTAATTTTTATATAAACACTCCAGGGTACAAATGCACCACCTTATCAAGGTCGAGTAGGAGACGAAGACAAAGACGGAATAGACATGGCTTATAGAGTTTTAGCCGACCACGCCAGGACTCTCACAATTGCAATTTCCGATGGAGGCACTCCAGACAACACAGGAAGAGGGTAATTTCTTTTCAACCGTATAAATGATCAAAAATTCATTTCCTCTTTTGTAGTTACGTCCTGAGGAGAATTTTGAGAAGAGCAGTTCGCTACGCTGTGGAAAAGCTCAATGCGAAACCAGGCTTTTTCTCATCACTAGTTCAAGTCGTTGTCGACCTCCTTGGCGACACGTTCTCTGAAGTGAAGAAATGCCCGCAGAATGTTGTGGCCATCATTAATGAGGAAGAAGAACAATTTTTGAAGACTTTAAGCAGAGGGAGGAATTTATTGAATCGAACTATAGACAAACTGGGATCTACAAATATTTTCCCTGGTGAGTGCCAAAAAAAATCTACAGTAATAAATAATGTAGTTAACTGTTCTTATTTCCACTTTAAAATAAAACTCCCATCTCACATCTACCAACATAAAATTATAAATTATTCTATAACATATTAGCTATATTTTGCGATTTCTTCTAAGTCTTGTAGTTTGGTAATTTCTGATCATTTTGGTCATCTAAAGCCCAAAACTTTGAGGAGAGACATGCCAAAAGGACCTTAAACAACAAGCTATTAGCTCTATATTGTAGGACTTTCAAAAGTACTGGCATAGTACAGGAATTTGAATTAAAATTTGAACTAGAAGATAAATGTCCAGATGAAAAATAATTCCAGCATAAACTCCCAAGCTGGACTAATTTTCATTTTTCTAAAAAAAATACAGATTTTTAAAGATAAAGTGTATTTATGTTGAGTTGTATAAATTTGATGTTTGAAATAATTAGTGAACATTTATCAGGTGATATTGAATTGTTTTTTTATTAGGTGATATTGCCTGGAGGCTGTACGACACATATGGATTCCCCGTGGATCTAACAGGTTTGATGACTGAAGAAAAAGGTCTGACAATCGACATGAATGCTTACGAAGAGTCAAAAAAACACGCACAGGTGGAAACCCATTTAAAAAAAATAAAATAAAATCGATGGTACTATCGTATTTTAAAAAATATGTTGCTAGCTGGTGAGCCAAGGAAAGGACAGTGCAAATGCGAATTTGATTAGTCTTGATGTACATGCAATTAGCGAACTTCAAGACAGTGATGTCCCTGTTACTGACGATTCGCCTAAATACAATTATAAAGCTGTTGCCGGTGAAGGTGCCTTTGCCAAATATAGTAAGTGATTTTTGTATAGATTTTGTTATAGATTGCCATACTTATAATGTAAAAAAAAATTTTAGAGTTTGAACCGTGCCAAGGAAAAGTTTTAGCATTAAGGAAAGGAACCCAATTTGTCCAAGAAGTGAAATCCGGTGACAGGTGTGGTATCGTTTTAGACAAGACTTGTTTTTACGCTGAACAAGGCGGTCAGATTTATGACCAGGGTTTTATGGTTAAAGTTGGAGACGAGGTAAGTGTAAATTTTGCATTAATGTGTTGAACAAATTTATAAAAGTGGATTTTTCAGAGCGTCGAGGTGAGCGTAGATAATGTACAATTAAAAGGTGGTTATATTCTTCACACAGGGAAGGTTGAAGGCTTGCTCAAAGTCGGCGATAAATTGAATCTTCAAATCGATGAAGTTAGAAGAAGGCTTGTCATGTCTAACCACACGGCAACTCACATTTTAAACCACGCTTTACGAGCTGTTCTTGGGCCTGAGTCTGATCAAAAAGGCTCCCTTGTTGCACCAGACAGACTCCGATTTGACTTCACCAATAAGGTAAACATCATGCCTTACCCAACAATAAAAAATAATAAAAAATCATTGCGTTGTAGAAAGCAATGAGCCCCGATCAAGTTAAAAAGACAGAATTCATGATCAATAACATATCCAAAGCCGATAAAGTAGTTTATGCTCAAAGTGCACCATTAGCGACTGCTAAGAAAGTTGTAGGCTTAAGAGCCATGTTCTCGGAAGTTTACCCGGATCCTGTCAGGATTGTGTCAGTGGGTGAGCCCGTAGAAAGGTTAATTTCCTCACCTGAGAGCAAAGCGGCGATAGAAACTTCGGTTGAATTCTGCGGTGGAACGTAAGTCTTTTAAAATTCCCCTTTTATTCAATAATCATTTAAATCATTAAATTCACTAATTTTGTGGTCCGCTTGAGCAATTAATATATTACAATTAATTAAGGTTTTTAGTTGAGATAAAAAAGTCAATGGCACGAGCGGGATTCGAACCCACGATCTTCAGCTAGATACGCCGCTGCTCTACCACTTGAGCTATCGTGACCTCGATCCACTCTCGGACACCAACTTCCTATCTCAATCCCGCCTTTTGAGTTTTCCCTCATTTTTGCCATTTTTCAAATGTCGTGTAATCGGATTGGATACTTGGCGAAAAATGAAATGACCACGGAGAGCTTTAGTGAAGTATACTTCTTTTTAATTTATTAAATTCACTAATTTGAAAAATGGCAAAAAGGAGGGAAAATTCGAAAGGTGGGGTTGAGATGAGAAGTTATTGTCCGAGTGGATCAAGGTCACGATAGCTCAAGTGGTCGAGCAGCGGTGTATCTAGCCGAAGGTCGTTGGTTCGAATCCCGCTCGTGCCATTGACTTTTTTTATCTCAACTAAAAACCTTAATTAATTGTAATCATTTAAATTTTTACATTTTGTTTCAGACATTTACACAGGTCATCTCACATGGGAGACTTTGTTATTACAAGTGAAGAAGCGATTGCAAAAGGCATCAGAAGGATAGTGGCTTTAACCGGTGCCGAAGCAAAAAAAGTAAATATCAATTATTTTTTTGTTATAAAAATAATATTTAATATTATTTCATAGGCTATGGATCATTCTATTGCTCTCGATAATGCTGTTAATATGCTTAGCGATATTGCTTCAACAAAATCGTTAACAGGAAAAGATTTAGTGAGAGCAATAACACAGCTCAACGATGAAATATCCCAAGCTGTTATTCCCTACTGGAAGAAGGTATTTTCCAACCCCCCCCCCCAAAAAAAAAAATCTTAAATTGTTAAAAATTTTAAAATTATTTTTAGGAAGAGTTACGAACTACACTGAAAAATATGAAAAAGAAATATGATGACAGTGAACGAGCTGGGAAAACTGAACAAATACAACAAGTATTAAATATACTTATTAAATATATTACATATTTATTTTATAGCAAATAATTAATTTTATTCTACTTTAGGTTGTAGATAGCGCAAAACAGCTTGCCACTCAACAAAAAGGTGTGCCATTCCTTGTAGCCGAGCTTAAAGCGGGTTCTAACACTAAAGTATGTCAAATTTTAATTTAGTAATTTTACGAGTAACAATATTGCATTGTATTTAATTTGAATTTTAGGCTTTAGATGGAGCTTTAAAACAAGTAAAACAACTTTCTCCAGAAACTTCAGCCATGTTTTTCTCAGTCGAGGAATCTTCTGAGAAAATATTTTGCCTTTGTGCCGTTTCAAAGGTGAATGATTTTTTTTTTTTTTTAAATTGTAAAAAATTAAATTTTCCTCTATGTTGACTTTTATTTCTTGTAGAGTGGCATTGAAAAAGGTTTGAAAGCTAATGAATGGGTTAACAACGTAAGCGGTCTTATGAACGGCAAAGGTGGAGGAAAGGCAGACTCTGCCCAAGCATCTGGTTCTAATGGGAAGTGCCTTGCTACTGCTTTAGCCAAAAGCAAAGAATTCGCTGCGGCAAAACTCGGAGGTGGTGTTTGTTCGAATGGCGGTGGCGATGCAGAAGGATTGGTTTATACCGACAACTGCCTCGGCTCAGTTCTGGTCTGCTTGACCCATGAATACACCCAGGCGAAAGCCGGACTTAAAAAGGGCGAAAACTTAAACTTCAACAAAAACGGGCTTAACCTGACCGATAGTGTCGCGATTGCCTTTTATCTCGCTGACACTCAGCTTAAAGGAGGTGACTCGACCTTGAGGGAAGCCCAAGTACTCCAGTGGGTCTGGTACGCTGAAAACACAGTCCGTAACTCTTCAAACCCTTCCGAATGGATGCCCCAACTCAACAACTATCTATTGACTAGAACATTTTTTGTTGGTGAAAGGGTCACTCTGGCCGATTTGGCTTTATTTACAAGGCTCTTACCTTCTTATCATAAAAATGTTCCTTTGACAAAGTACACAAATCTAAACCGGTAATTTATTTAAATATAGAAAAGTCCTATTGAATATCTGTTTTAATTATTTTATTATTTTAGGTGGTTCACGACAATGTGCAATCAGAAAGCCGTCATGAAAGTTGTTGGAGATTTAATTAAGTCAAAGTAATTTTGATTTATATGATAAACAATGATTTTCTTATATTATAATAAACGTATAAAATCTTTTATTTTATTTTATTCCTTAACATCATTTATATCTAGGATTTATATCAGAGCCGTCTGATATATAATATGAAGTTTGAAGGGTTATTAATCATTAGTTTGATAAAATCTGATTATCCTGGTACTAGCGAGAAAAGAAGAAAGGCTGAAACACATCCCAAGTTGAACCAGCATTTGGTCACTTTTTTGGGTCTGTCTTCATTCACGGGATTGTTGACAACCTGCCCAATGCCGGTTCAGCATTTCACCAACTTGCAAACTAACACTTAGCATTAAACTGAAATACATCTAACAGACAAAATTAGCAATGTAGGCAAACTAGCATGATCAAAGACAACCACACAACCCAAGTTTCAGGTTATTTTATTTTGTCTTTCGATTTTTCATTCAAGCCTTATTAGTTTGTTGTTGCCACCAGACTGGCTATCTCATAAGACCACTATTGCCTGGGAAAAAAATAGTGTGGCGCCAGTTGGTTGGTACTTAACTAAGCTATCGGCACCCATAACTTAAATTGGTTGTTGGTTTCCACAGAACTAGTGACAACATTCAATAAAAAAAGCTATGGATTGTGCCAGGATTTGAACTCAAAATTGTTAGTATGACAAATGCATGCCTGACCCCCTAACCAGTCTGCCACCATGACACCCGTTATCTATTAAATACATATTTTATTTGTGTGGCCTGCAATGTGATGAACCTGTAGCTCGGTCGTTTCTGATGCTTCACTGTTTGGAGCATCAGTTTTTTGCCATCTTATTTTTCTTTCCTCCCAAAAGAGCCACAGTTCTAAAATTCAGACATTTCATTTATTTTGATAGTTGAACAAACAAAAAAAAAAATTATAACAACTAAAAACAAAGCCCAACAAAAACCACTGAAGACTGGCAGACTAAAATGATCAGAATCAGCCAAACAATAAATTATAATCAATCCATATATGCATTTAGCAGTCATAATTGACCATATTAATTATTTTAATTAATTATACTTAATCTGAGGTCTTGTTTAAGATCAAAAAGCAAGTATTATGAGCGGGATTCAAACCCATAACCTTCGGCCCTACTTGTGACACTTGCTTTTTCATCACAACCAAGACTTTAGATTAAAAGTATAATTAATTACAATAAATTATAATACTTATTGAAATGGATTAAGCAAATGCCTGCAATTAATGTATAGAATCTTTATTTTAGCTACACTTCACTTTAAGGTAAAGGTCCTGCGTTCAAATTCATATCTTCTGGATATACTCACAATTTTTTTTTAAATTACTGGCCCTCAAGAGTTAATTAAAAAACTTCCAATTTTTCCACTTCATAGACATCCTCAACTTTTTTTTTTAATGGCCTTAATTTTCAATATTGGCCAGAGAATGCTATGCGGTCTGAATTGTATATTTGGGGAAATGGAAAAGAAAATTCCAGGGGGACAGCTGGAATCAAACTCATGACCGCCAGGTCGATTATTTAGCTTATATCTTAGCCTGATAAGCTAACTACTCAGCTACTGCTGTCTTCAACTTTGTTCATGACTCCCCCTCCCCAGTAACCCGTTATTAGGAAGGCGTTTATTGCCATGTACATTCCCAATCCCCAAGATTATGGTTAAGTTTAACTTTTGGATTTATTTTACTTTTACATCCATTTGATTTTAATTTAGTGTAAAGTTCTGTAAGTGGAATAAGTTCATTAAATATAATTCATAGGTTCATTCATAATAGGTAAGAACAGCACACTATTGTTAACAATCTTTCAATTAACTAAGGTTTTTAGTTGAGATAAAAAAGTCTGTCATGAGCGGGATTTGAACCCACGACCTTCAGCTAGATATGCCGCTACTCTACCACCTGAGCTATCGTGACTTCGATCCACTCGGTTGAGATGGGAAGTTAGTGTCTGAGTGGATCGAAGTCACGATAGCTCAGGTGGTAGAGTAGTGGCGTATCCAGCTGAAGGTCGTGGGTTTGAATCCCGCTCATGACACTGTCTTTTTTATCTCAACTAAAAACCTTAATTAATTGAAAGGTATTAATTAGTCAAGTGAACCACGAAAACTAGTGAATTGTTAACAATTTTATTACAGATTGTCACTAATTTAAATCCAAGTCTATGGAATTCAAAATTGATGATGACTTGTAAAACAGGGTTTTTTTTTCGTTTGGGTCTTTTATGAACTATGGTGCTAGGAAGCATGTGAATTTTTATTTAATACGAGAGCTGAAAAAGACTGTAAAAAATTAAAAGTTGTTGCATGATCGTAAGGATCCATCTGGATTGATCATTGTGATAAAACAACCAAGTTTTGTAAATATGAATTCCTTTTTTTGAAATCTGCCTTCTTTGATTGCAAAATGGTTGTAACTCAAGTTTTAGCAGTATTTTTAATGGCAGATGAAGAACTAGCCCATTTCACGTTTGAAGCATCAGAATTTTCCTGGGGCAACATTCAAAACTCATGGCCACTTAATCAGTTCACAACCACAAACCCTCAGCCATCACACTCTATCTTACCTTTATGTATTGTACTTTTTACCTAAGGTCTTGGTTGAGTTGAAAAAGTCAGTGTCACAAGTGAGAGCTAGCTTTGTTTATCTCAACCAAGATCTTAGATAAAATGTATAATGAATGTAATAATTAATTAAAATAATTCTCTTATACGGTCAATTATGACTACTAAATCCTGGATTTATGTGTTGTATTGAGATGGTTTGATCAAAAGTTATACTACTGTATTGTAAATCATAATTCACATGATTTCGTCGATGACCAATGAGAAAGCTTTTTTTTTTTTTGCTAGCTAACTGCTAAGGTCATTCATTCCTGGCTCCTTAAATATTTTCTACCTCGCATTTTTTACTTATTTCTGGTATAGGTGCAGTCATTTATATTCAACTCTTCCACACTCTATTATTTACAGAACTTCAGTTGGTTATCAGTCATGCTAATAAATACATTCATACCTTTCAAGCCTTATATACAAATAAGAGTTGGGTAGTCACCGTGAATTTAACCTTGCTCAGTGACTCACCCACCTATCCCACACGACAAATAAATGTACGTTGCTTTTGAACATATTAAGATAAGTAAATTTTATTAATGATCTTTTAATGTTTTAACTCTAATAATTTAACAACAGAAATTTACAATTTTGTCAAGAGAAGAATTCAACTATGAAAATCAAACCGCAATCAGTGGTGTCCTTCTTTCGTGAACCTTAGGCCGCAGTAGCCGCAAGTGTGGTTCCCAGGCTTGTCCTAAGGAAATTGAGAACAATTTAATATGAAAATTTCTCCTAGGGTAATAAATGCTTACCAGATTGATGTAGACTTTGGGATGGCCTTCAGGCCCGCTGCCTCCGTCGCACCAGACGACCCTATCCTTCGTCTTAGTCGGCGGGACCTTGGCGATTAGATCAATCGCAAAGTTCTTATTGACTAATTTACTCTTGTCGACAAATCGTGCCATCCTGTAATCGTCAGCGTCGAATTTCTGCGAAACAGGTCATTATAACTGTCACTAAAAAGGGAAAAAAGTCTAGGAAAAAAATCATTTTACCTGCCCTGTGTGAGTTTCAACGTCGGAGGATTTCGTGCAGTACTGGCAAGAGACTGGTGACGTCCTGGACAAAGTGTTACATCTGCCTAGGCCTCGGAAAAGGCCAATTTTTGCCAAATTTGCCATTTAAAAAACGATTTTGATCAAATTGTTTTTCTAAGGAAAAGAGAAACAGCAGAAAAACCTCAGTTAAACTGGTCTCTTGCTTACAGCGCTCATGGAGGCGACCGGGTTTTTTTGAAATTTCAATAAACTCAAGTATTGTTTTTAAGAAATTATAATAAAATAAAATTACTTGTTCAATAAGCTCTTTTAAAAGAATAAATTTGTTTATAACATAAGATTTGTTATAACATAAGATGTTTTTTAATGTTAAAGTGTATAAAAACATGTTGGTGTCAAGATAAAAGAAAAAGAACATTCTGTTAGGTTTTTCATTTTTTCCATACATTGTGACAAGCTATTATTATACTAAATTATACATAAAACTTAATAGTAATAATAGAACTTATTACTATATAATATAATAAAAGTCTTATATAACCCACGATATAACTCAGCACATTATTGCATGGACTAATAGTTACTCTTATGTACAAAATTAACATACCACCCTTAAATTTTAATATATTCAGGTTTTTTCATATTTTGCATACCATAAATAGGTTTGATTTTAAAAATAAGACATGAAAAAAGAAAATGTTTAATACCTAATTTCAATCTTGTGGAACAGTTCTTATACTTAGTTAAATAATTTTTGACTATACATTAATCATAAAAAAAAGAGTGAATATTGTTTTGGATTACAATTAAGGTTTTTAGTTGAGATAAAAAAAGTCAAAGAGTGGGATTCGAACCCACGATCTTCAGCTAGATACGCCGCTGCTCTGTTGTTTTGGATGTTTATCGACCTGGTACAAGTTAAGTTTGGGTGATAAGATCTTCTTCAGAGGTCATATGGAGCAAAACAACTTTTTGGGCTGTGCCAAGCTTTTGGGGGTTTATTCCACTTTCATCAGGGCTTGACCCATTGAGACAAAAAGAAATGATTAAAAAGGTTAATATATAAGAACATCTTCAAACAACATAGTTACTGCCTTGAATAAAATTTTTTATAGTTTTTGCTTTATGCTTGCAATTAACGGTAAGCTGTTTAATTATTTAATATTGCCTGGTAACCAGGTACAATCTACAGATTCTCAATTAAGACTAGGAAAATTAATCCTTAATGAATTATTTTCACATATATCTGTGTATTCATTTCATTCATCTCAATGGGTCAAGACCTGATGGTGGTGGATGGATGAAGGCACTACTTCACAGTGATAGGTATGCTAGGTCTAGATTTGAAATGTTTGAAGGTCATCACCAAATCACTCCCTGAGATAAAATGGTCCAAAATCTTGGGGTTTGTGAACAATTCCAAGAGATTTATGCAGGACACGTGAGCCGACCAAGTCCCGGAACTTTTAGAAATGGGGTACGAATTTACCCAGGCATTTAACCCCTCGGGTCTTGGTCGCCCACCCTGCGTAATATGTATGTATAAAAGTTGGTTTTGCTTCATATGACCTCTGAAGAAGATCTTATCACCCAAACTTGAAGTGTGAATAACTAAACGTAACACATAATTTATTATTTATTACATCATATAAATAAAATATATATAATTTATACTATATAGTAGAGATGTTAAGCATATATGGCCTATCTCAATTCATTTGTCTACATGTATCTATTACCTGCTACTGTAATGCCTATCTTTGTCTCAACAATAAAATTTTGATTTTTTTAAAATGAAATTGGATATTTACGGTTTGCTGCAGTTCTTTCAATATTAATCAACTCATTCGCCTATTTAATAGTATGTTTTTAAAAGTTTTCCTCGTTTATTTGGGATGCTATAACGAAGTTTAACCAAATCTGGTTGAAAATATAAAATCGTCACTGTGATCATGGTGATGTGAGAGGTTATCAACTATAACTGTCAATGCAAGCCTGACAGTCTAGAAACCTCAAATGTACTCACGTGTGCTATGTTATTTTCACCAAGAACTCATTTTTTAAAAATAACAATCTAAAGAATTCTCTTACTTGAATAAACTAAACTTCCAAAATGAACGTCACCGATCCTAATAACATTAAGATTTACAATCTTTCTTCTGGAAAATCCCTTCCTGAGGTACGGCATCTGTGTTTTTACATATCTGGTTTGTGTTTATACCGTGTTTTATTTATTTGTAGTGGCTGTCGGATAGAAAAAAGAGAGCTCTTGTCAAAAAAGATGTCGGTGAGTAAAAAGTAGTTTTATTTTTGTACTCTTCTTTTTCGGTTATGGACTTTTTATTATTTCTTTATTTTTGATGAGGGTTCGCAACTTCAGAGGTCATATAAACCCTAGGGGTGCTGGTGTTTTTGAAAAAAAAAGCCCATTTGTAAGTATCCTTTTTGAAAAGATAGTTCCTACTCACAGTAAGTAAAAAAGATAAGTACTTACTGTGAGTAGGAACTATCTTTTTAAAAAGGATTGAACACCACACTCACTCCATCATTTATCATTCTATTTGTAAGTATGTCGGGTTTGAATTCAGGGCCGCTGGATTCGAACCCGGGACCTTTTCCTTACAGTGATGAGCGCCGTGTCAATGCCTAAACCGTTGCGGCCACCGACCCCCCCCCTATATGGACTTTTTATATTTCTTGGGTTTCTTTTCAGGAACTAGAAGGAACTAGAAACTAAAGAAAAAGAGTTTGATGGTTGTTTAGTTCCTGAAAAGAAACCCAGGTAGTTTTATTGTTTTATCATTCCGTTGAGTTTAGGCTTAGTTGTTTTAGGCATACATTCAAAAACAAACCGAAAACATGAAAACTTGTATTTGTTTATATTTATGTATTTATTTATATTTTATTATATTTCCATAAAAATTAGGCATAAAGATTAATACACCGATGGACAAATTTAACGCACCACTCAATTTATTTAGTGTGAAAAAAATATAGCATTGTATAAATTCATTTTTTTTTCACATTCTACATGTATTTGTAAAATTTAAACAACGGTAGAGCAGCGGAGTATCTAGCCGAAGATCATGGGTTCAAATCCCGCTTGTGCCATTGACTTTTTTATTTCAACTAAAAACTTTAATTAATTGTAATTTAAACAATGTTTATAAATCCCAGGCCCTGAAGATGATCTCAATAAAGATAGAAAAGTTGGCACAATAAAGAAATTTTTTTTCTAAAACCTATGTCACATCATCATGTTCTCCAAATAATCTTTGAAAGTATCTTTTATTTAAAACTATAAATTGACCCTGCCATATAAGAAATAATTATTTAGAAAAGGAATGTACATAAAAATAATTAATTATGTTAATAAATTAAATTAAACCATATAAACTTCTTTCATTTAAAAAAATTAAGTAAATTAAAAAAAAATCTTTTTTACTATAAACGTTTTTCAATTGTTTATAAGATTAATCTATACAATTCCTTTCACCAGGAAATTAAACAATATAAACTTTAAAAAAATCAAGTAAATTAAAAAAAAAATCTTTTCTACTATAAACGTTTTCAATTATATACAAAATTAATATATACAATTCCTTCAATACCGTACACAAAAGTTTTTCCTGAATAGAAGAAACCAAACTCATTCAGATACTCAATAATACTTAAATTAATTAATTTTGCCTGATAGGCCTGGCTCTGTTTCTCATGGAAGTCCTCTGAGGAATCGAGCCAATCATCAGTGGAAGAGGGCACTCTCGCGGCCGCTTCTCCTGCGAAAGCCAGAGAACCCAGGCGGGCACGTGACATGTGTATTCAATTTTAACTTTTCCCCATTTTGAACTCAAAACCACTTGCATGTCCAAACTTTCATAGGCTTGGCGTTCAAATCTGTGGTGTGATGATGTTATTGTAATCAGCCGATCCTTGGTGCGTTTTGGCACCAGTGTGATTGGGCAAACCAGGATGAACAAAGGTGATCAAATCAAAGTTTAGAAGTTGTTCTAAAGTTGGCGAAGAGTTGAGACATGTCTGATTACAAAAAAAAAAAAAAAAAAAAAAAAGGCAAACCAGGACAAAGTGGTATCTTTCAGACTGCAAATCGCTCTCTTTATTTTGCTTCACTTACGGCTCCCTTTGATGTAATTCTATTGTTTTCTGTTTTTGTTTAATTACAGATATTAGGAAAAGAATTGAGCTCTTGCAGGATTTCACCATGCCTGATCTCAGCAACACAGTCAAGGTGTCAAAAGACGGCCAGTACATCATTGCTACGGGTATTTACAAACCTAGAGTACGGTGTTTTGAAGTGCACAATCTATCTATGAAATTTGAACGCTGCATGGATGCTGAAATTGTCACATTCGAGATCCTCTCTGACGACTATACCAAAGTAAGTTGATTACATTTTTAAATGTTGATATAATTGTATTATAAAAATGCATTGAAAATAATCTATGGTATATTTTCAGATGGTATTTTTACAAACAGATAGATTCATCGAGTTACATGCAGCTGGCGGGACATACTATAGGCTAAGGATACCAAAATTCGGTAGGGACATGAAATACCATTATCCATCATGTGATTTATATGTGACAGCCGCTGGGTAATTATTAAAAAAGTCTTAATATTTTTTATGCGTGTCATTAATGAATGTTCAATATTCAGGCCAGACATATATCGGCTGAACCTGGAAAGAGGCCAGTTTCTTAATTCTCTCACGACTGAGGCCAGCGAAGTCAATCGAATCGTTATCAATCCGGTCCATCAGCTAGTGACTGTTGGGACTCGCGATGGAAAAATCGAAGCGTGGGATCCACGGCAGAGGAAAAGATGTGGCGTGTTAGATGTAGCTTTCAGTTGCGTTACAGATGACACACAGTAAGTACAGCGGTGTAAATTATTATATTTCTTTAATAATTTTCTTAATAATCTACAGGGTCGATGGTTTTCCATCAGTAACAAGCCTTGAATACACTGGCCCCGTCACCTTAGGAGTGGGAACCGCCACAGGCCAGATACTAATTTACGATATAAGATCCGATAAACCTTGTCTCGTTAAAGACCACATGTATGGCTATGCCATTAGAGATTTAGCATTTCATGATAACTATGTCCTTTCTTTGGATTCAGCCGTTCTGAAAATATGGGACAAATCTTCTGTAAGTTAAATACAAATTATCTTTATATTTATTCCATATCATATTGTTTACACATTGTAACTAATAATTTTTTTTAAAGGGGAAAATATTTACTTCGATTGAATCTGGCCAGGAGACACTTTTTAACAACTTATGCCATGTTCCAAATTCAGGGCTTATTTTCATGGCAAATGAAAGTCCCAAGATACAATCATACTACATACCTGTAATTATGACTGTAAACAAATAGTGTTTATTTATTAATATTAAAAAAAAAAAAAAAATACTTTCACAGCAATTAGGACCGGCGCCAAAGTGGTGTTCATTTTTAGACAACCTGACTGAAGAACTTGAGGAAAGCAAGGTTGACAGTGTTTATGATGATTTCAAATTTGTGACAAAGAAAGAACTCGAAGAATTACAGCTCACACATTTAATCGGTATGTTGTTACTTTATCAGATCATTACGCACCATGATTTCAAGCGATAGTGGGCAAGTCAAATCAAAAATATTATGAAACTGTCTGCCAAGAATAGGTGGTAGGTGGGCAGTATAGCTTTCTCACATTTTACATGCACATTTCCAAAATGGCAAAAAGGAGGGAAAATTCAAAAGGTGCGGTTGAGATGGGAAGTTGATGTCCGAGTGGATCGAGGTCACGATAGCTCAAGTGGTAGAGCAGCGGTGTATCAAGCCGAAGATCGTGGGTTTGAATCCCGCTCGTGCCATTGACTTTTTTATCTCAACTAAAAACCTTGATTAATTGTAATATATTATTGGTCAAGCGGACCACGAAATTAGTGAATTTAATGATTGTAAATAGTTTACATTAAGCAATGAAGAAAAAATCTAGTTTAATATATTTAAATATTTTAAATGTAAGATGTTTGGTCAAAATTTTCAAAAATTAGTTTTGAGCACTTTCAATGCAAACTTGCAAGTATTTTAGACCAACCGATGCAGGAAAAATCTAGTTTAATAATAAATAAAAACAAAAAAAATTTCAAAGAAAAACAAAATTATTGTCCAAAATTGTAAAAATATTTTTTGAGCACTTCCAGTGTTCAAAGTTGCAAATCCTTTACACCACTGATACAGAACAAAATTTAGTTTAATAAAACAAATATGTTAAAAAATGCAACAAAAATTAAAATTTTTGGTCAAAATTTTCAAAACATTTTTTGAACTACTTCCGATATTCAAAATTGCAGATCTTTTATATCAACCAATGCATTAATCTAGTTTAAAAAAATATTTTAAAAAGTAAAAAAATAAAATTTTTGGTGAAATTTTCAAAATATTTTTTAACTACTACCAGCGGTCAAAATTGCAGACTTTTACACCAACCAATGCATTAATCTAGTTTAATAAAAATATTTTAAAAAGTAAAAAAAAAAAATTTTTTTTGTCAAAATTTTCAAAAATTCTTCTGAAGCACTACCAGCGGTCAAAATTGCAGACTTTTACACGAACCAATGCATTAATCTAGTTTAATAAAAAAATTAAAATTTTTGGTCAAAATTTTCAAAAATTCTTCTGAAGCACTACCAGCGGTCAAAATTGCAGACTTTTACACCAACCAATGCATTAATCTAGTTTAATAAAAATATTTTAAAAAGTAAAAAATTAAAATTTTTGTTCAAATTTTTCAAAATATTTTTGAACTACTTCCAGTACACAAAATTGCAGATCTTTTACACAAACCAATGCATTAATGTAGTTGAATAAAAAAATTAAAAAATTAAAATTTTTGGTCAAAATTTTCAAAAATTCTTCCAAAGCACAACCAATGGTAAAAATTACAGATATTTTATGCCAATGCATGCCGAAAAATCTTGTTTAATAAACAAATAAAAAAAAAAAAGTGAGTTTTTGAAGGCCAGAATTGGTTGATCCCCTATTAGATAAAAAGTAAAGTACACCTGTTCTTCCTGTAATAAAATCGTCAAAATAATTGGTTTTATTTAATGTAAACATTTTTTAGGATCGCCTATGCTACGAGCTTATATGCACGGTTATTTTATGAATATAAGATTGTACAACAAAGCCAAAGCACTCGTGCAGCCATTCTCATATGAAGAATATAAGAAGAAGAGGATAAGAGAGAAAATAGAAAAAGATCGAGGAACAAGAATACAAATTCAGGTTTGAATTGTTTTAAATGATGTTTCCAATTTTTGTGTCTTTAAGGAAATGATAATATTGCAATTGTTGTTTGTTTAGAATTTGCCTAAAGTCAATAGAGATTTGGCACTTAAGCTGATGGACCAGAAGAGGGAAGATACGAGGAGGAAGGCCAAGAATACACCAAATATTTTGAATGACGACAGGTTCAAGGCGATGTTTGAAAACCCAGATTTCCAAATTGACACGAACACTGAGGAATACAGGCTCATAAACCCAGTTGTCTCGCGTCTCGACATAACTAGGAGAAAGGAGCTTAAAAAGGAACTTCTAAAACAACAATTTGACCCAGTTGACGTAAGTAAAGTAAAACGACTCGTCTTCTTTATTCTTCACTGTTTCTTAAAATTTCAGGAAGAACCTGAAGGAAAGCCGAGCGATGACGATGAAATTTGGAGTTCCGACGATGAGAAGGAATGGGTTCAGGAGGTGAAAAAACAGCACAAGGCGATCGCAAAAGAAAAGAAAGAAGCTGAACTGAACGAAGAAAAACAGCAGGATGAATTGAACAAGAAAGGAAGGTCGATCAAGCTTTACCAGCTCAAAGAAGGCAGTAGTTTCAAAAGAAACATTAGAGACTTTATATCTGAAGATAGCAAGTAAGTTATTTACTTACTTCTTATTAAAATATTAATAAATTGTTGAAAGTCAATAAAAGAGAATGAACTGAATAAACTATACGAACTTTGTTCTTTCAGATTGGCTCTTGGTGAAAGGATCAAAGAAGAAGAAAGAGGAAACATCAAAGTGTTATCATCAGGAAATAGAGAAATGACTTTCCGGGTTGACAAGGTATGTTTGATTTCCATTTAAATCACTTCATCAATTATAAAAAAAATTATAATTTAACTGAACATTACAGAAAAAGAAAAAAGGCATGACCGACCCTGAGACAATGAGAAAACACAGAGAAGAGAGGAAACAACTTATTAGGAGGGCGCCAAACACGTTCCGAATGTCGTTTAAGAAATTTGGAAAAAAGAGATAGATTATTTTGTTATGTTTTACTGTACAAAGTGATAAAATATTGTATATATATTTTAAATAAATTTAATTCTAAAAGTAAACAATACTCCAGGACCGAGTCCAACTGCAACCATTAACACAAACCTATAATTAGGAGCCAAATTTATATGTGAAATAAAATATAAAATATGCATTTACTTTCTTTAAACAAATTAGGCTAGTAAAAGAAGAAAAATAAATAAAAAGAAAAACATTTAGTTTTGAATGTTCCAATTTTTTAATTTATAATTTACACATATTAGTTGAATTATGTGTAAAAAGGAAGAATAGAAGTCAATAAAATAGCAAGTAAGCCTTTATTTTATATTATTTTAAATAGCGTACATTTTTTAATTTTTATGAATAAAAATATAACTTTCAAATGGTAAAAAAAATCTATAAAATAAAAAGGCATTTTTTAAAAATGATTAAGGAATTATAAAGTGGATATTTGAAATAACGTACATTCTTAACTTTTTGAAAATAAAATTAAATGTTTGGTTTAATTTTTGACATTTTATATATAAATATATCTCATTCAATACAGTGACGCGATGTCTCCAGTCTCAAAACGGAATGCGAGTTCATAAGGCCATTAAAAAAAAAGATTTTTCTTATAAAAGACAAAACGTCTTTTACTTTATCCATATTTACATGGCATAAAAGTTTCAAAATCGGTACACAAGGCTCAGAAAAAATGTCAGTACCTACAAATCCAGTCCCTATTATAATTAACTTCACTAGTTTTGTGGTCCGCTTGACCAATTAATATCTTACAATTAATTAAGGTTTTCAGTTGAGATAAAAAAGTCAATGGCACGAGCTGGACTCGAACTCACGACCTTCGACTAAATACGCCACTGCTCTACCACTTGAGCTATCGTGACCTCGATCCACTCAGACACTAACTTCCCATCTCAACCACACCTTTCGAATTTTCCCTCTTTTTTGCCATTTTTCAAATGTCGTGTAATCGGATTGGATTCTCAGCGATAAACGAAATGGCCACAGAGAGCTTTAGTGAAGTATACTTCATTTTAATTTATTAAATTCACTAATTTCATGGTCCGCTTGACCAATTAATATATTACAATTAATTAAGGTTTTTAGTTGAGATAAAAAAGCCAATGGCACGAGCAGGATTCGAACTCACGATCTTCGACTAGATACGCCACTGCTCTACCACTTGAGCTATTGTGACCTCGATCCACTCGGACACCAACTTCCTATCTCCAGAAAAATGACAAAAAGGAGGGAAAACTCAAAAGGTGGGGTTGAGATAGGAAGTTGGTGTCCGAGTGGATCGAGGTCACGATAGCACAAGTGGTAGAGCAGCAGCGTATCAAGCTGAAGATCGTGGGTTTGAATCCTGCTTGTGCCATTGACTTTTTTATCTCAACTGAAAACCTTAATTAATTGTATTATAATTAACTTAAATGTACTAAGTTTCTACGTAATTTCTAAACTAATTGTAATGTCCGGAAAATAATGCAGGTTTACATGTTATCTTTCAAATACTCCCCTATATAATAAACTGTTTATGTTTGACAGATTTTTTTTTTTTTTTGTACGAATGTCAACATTATGTTTGTTTACCTCAGTAGCATTTCATTACTTGGGAATAATTCACTCTTTATTAAGATGTCAACGCATGATTTTCGTTTTACAAGTTAAAACTCGGTCGGAACGGTGCCAAAATGGCTAAAAACATTAATGAAGTCTGAGCACCTTCTCAGGGATGGTTTAAAAAATTTTGAGAAGATTTTAGTCTTGAAGTGCTTGGAAGAATTTCTTTCCTAGATGATGATGTTCTGCGAGCTTTGGTCGAAGAAAATCCCAGAACAGCTGTTTGAGAACTTGTAGAGAATCTTTCATCGATTCTCACAAATTGACTATTGCTGACCTCATTGTGGCGTGGAAAGGTGACAAAGCTCAAAAGTTGGGTCCCTCTTGGGTTAAACAATTTGCACAACTTCTTTGCCGAAACAGAAATGAACCTTTTCTGGATAGAATTGTTACCTGTGATAATGGCAGATGTTCTGGACAGTGGCTTGACACAGGAGAAGCAGCCCCACATTTTACAAAGCCCCCAAATTCTCAAAAAAGGTGGTGGTGACTCTGGTGAGTTGATTTAATACAGCTCCTTAAATTCTGCCAAAACAATTAATGCTCTCAAATGGAAGCAATACACCAGAAATTGGCATTATTGAAGCCAATTTTGGTCAATTGAAAAAGGTTGCGTGACAACGTTGTGAGGTTCTGCCTAACCCTCCCTATTCTCCACACATCTCGCCTACCGACTACCATTTTTTTCCCAGACACCTAGACAATGTTTTACAACATAAAAAATTTGTTGATCAAAAATTGTTAGAAAATGCATTTATTAAATTAGTTAATAATAATGACTCAACTTTTTATTCAGAGGGTGTAAAGAAGTAGCCATCACGGGAGAAATGTGTTGAGTGATGGAGGGTATTTTAATTAATAAAAAATATTTAAAATCGTTTAATTGTTTTTATTTTATAATAATAAACATGCATTATTTTCCAGACAACCCTATATTTAATCTAATTTCAATGTTCAATTGGTCAATTCCACCACGTACATTCATGCTAATAAATACATTCACTCACACAAAACATACTACTACTAACACATGCCAAGACATACAGAAAACACATTTACATAAATTTTAGTACTTAAGGGCATAAATAAAACCACAGTTTATTAACAACTACTTTTTTTTTGATTGATTAAGTAAAAGTTTTAGATTACATTATTTTCTATTAATTATAATTTAAAAAACAACATCATTAACAGTCTTATAATATTGACAATAAATACAATGCTCCAAAAAAATGGAACAATATTTCAACTTGATTACAAGTAGTACATTTTTTAAAAAAATTCTTGTTTTTTTAAATATTAATATACAATATAAACAACTCTTTAACCTTACCCTAGTAATAATCAATATTATTGTATTCGGTTTTCTCTATCACACATTGATTATTGTTATCAGTTAAAGAATGGGAATGCAGTTCGTTTTGATTTAGTTTGTTTGTCAAAAATTGTCAATATCGTTATTACATGTTCAATAGTTATAATGTAATTGTAAACATCGCGGTTCCAAGGATTGATTGTTCAAGTCTGGTTAGATATGTACGAACAGATTTCTTTTAGGATGATTTCGATATGTGAATGTTGAAAATAGTTAATAAACTGAACAGGGCAAATCCTACTTGAAATTAGCTTACTTAGCTACAAGTCCTAATGGTGTGATTTTCCCCTTTTGTTAATGAAGGAAAAGTAAGTGCAGAAGTGAGAGCTAGTTACGAATAGGCTTTAAAAAATCATATTTTATAAAGAGACCTAGTGAAATCACAAAAGTAAGACCAGCTGAAAAAAAATTGAGATTCAAGCGAATAGATTTTTGACAAACTCATTCGGAGAGAAATAACATTTCGTTCGTTCGAAGATCACAGCGTAGGCCATTTAATTCAATTTTAAGATTCAGAGTGCAGTCCGTTCATCGTACACGACAACGGCTTCATTGTCGACTAACGAATCGGTGTCTTTGTGTAGAAATTGACTACGGGATTTGCTCAAAGCTATTATTGCAGCTTCGTCATTTCTCATTCTGTTTTTCCTCTTTTTACTGAAATTGACCTATAAGAGAAAAAAAAAAAAAAATTAAAGTGCCTTTCATTAATAATTTTTATTTTAAAATTACTTTAGCGTAGAGCTCAGAGATGTCATCAGCGGTTGAAAGAGGTCGGGATTTGCTTCGGACACAGGCCGGCAAGCTTTGAGTCTTCAACATGGTGCACCCTCCAAACGGAGACAAATAAATCTCATTGGAACATTCTTCTAGAACTGATTTTTTTTTTGTTACAGTCAAATATAAAAATAGCATAAATAAATACTTACTGCTACTTGAGGCACATAGGCTGAGATGAGGGTTGAACTCTGAGATCTGAGGAAGTGAACAAGGGCCGTCCAATGTTGACACAGCCAGTCGCTTAGGCACTGGAGAAATAGAAGATGGCTGGCTGTGGGGCCTAGGTGGTCTTTTCATCTCGTTCTGAAAATATTACAAATTACAAGAAAAGTACTTACACGCTTCTAGTAATTATTAAATTAAACCTGCTGTCTTGTAGGAACACTGGCGGATCTGGGCACTGAGGTGCAAGGTTCGAGGGAGGCGGGGTTGAGCAAATGGCTGTTGTAAAGCCAATGGCTCGAGCCTCCAATTCCGTTATCTACAATGCGAGAGCTCACTGACCACTGACCGCTTTTCGGGTCGAGGAATACTGCTGAATGGCTGAACCAAGACCTGGTTATTCGATTAATTATAAAAATTCAAATAAACAAATAAATACCTTGGCAAAACAGGAACGACAGGACCTTGTTGTGATGATGGGCTCTCGGTCATTTTCATGCCTGGAAATTAATCACGATTTAATCAAAGTCCAGATATTGGATGTAGTCGGCTTGCGGGCAAACAGGAAATTAAACTCTTAATAGATTCTTGATTAGGAAGGGTGGCTTTTAGGCTGGGATAATTCCATTTCAAGGGGCTTACAGTAATCTTTGTTGCGATGCGGTGCTACGCAGAACCTCCATAGTACAGCTGCTGCGACAAGCAGGACGATAAGTGTGCCTCCACAGAGGACAGCAACAACAAGTGGGAGTTGATCACTCGGAACTCTCCATGTGGAAGAGCCACTCATTGTTGAATTGTCCTAAACAAATATATTACACATTTATTTCTAAAGTAACTATTTTAAAAGAATTTTTTAATATTTATTATATTTAAAAAAAAAGTTTTCAATACTACACAAAATCCTATACAGTTGTTAATGTTTTTTTCTTTCAAATATTGAACAAAAAAAAATTGATTTTGTTAACGTATTTAGATGTTAGATTACAATATAAATTCTACTGTTTGTGAGAAATTATAGTGTAATCCCCTGTATTTTACAATTAATATATTAATGAGCTCAGTGTGACAACTTTTAGTCTTGTTATGTTTTAATATATGATAGAAAACAGTATTTTAAAAAAACAAAAAAACTTGAGTTTCCTATATTGATTTTTTAGAATGGAAAGGGCTCAAAATGTGTCAAAAATTCATCGATTTGACCAGAAAATATTGAAGTTTTCCATCAGAACTCAATTCAATATATCATGTAAATTGTTAAAAAAAAAAGAAGAGAAAATTGTAAATTTTATTTCATAAAATTCAATACAAATAAAATTAAAATTCAATACAAATAAAATTTTCGTATTTTATTCAAAATTTTCAATTTTCTCTCTGGTGTTTTTTTTTTAAATCTAGCTACAAGATAAATTGAAATTATAGAGTCCTGAAGGAAAACATTAAATCTCCAGAACAAATCGATGAGGTTTTGAGTATCTGGAATTATTTTTTTTTAGAAGGGAAGAAGACTTTCAAAATGTCAGAAAAAATAGTGCATTATTTGTGAAAAAATTTTTGATCACCAGGTCGGTTTAATGTACAAAATTATTATAATTCTAATAGCATCAGTAGATTCTATGTGACAAATTATCTTTGGAACCTTACTTAGTTTTACAAAAAAATAGGCAACGTAAAAAACAAAAGGTCATGCCTTTTATAAAAAACACACGGTATAATTATGTGACCAATTTATAACTTGTCGCTTATATTTTACGTATTTACATTTCACACAATGTATTTTTTTATACCGAGTTTTTAAACTTTCCTAGGCAGGAAGTGCGTTATCTAAACCCTTATATAAATTATACCTTCAAAAAATATCCTTAATTCATGATTGAAAAAAAATTATATTCCTGAGCTGTGAAGAAATGACTATTTGGCATTAGATTTCATCTTGCCTATACATTAAAAATTTTAATCGTTAGAAAATTTATTCATTACAAGGTTTATTGTTTTGTTTTTACAAAGGACCTTCAAAATACAACTATCTACACATCTAGTTTTGTTTGTATTGTCAGGAATTCACTTCAGATAAGATTTGTGTCATTGCGTATGATTGTGAAACGCATCAAATTGTACAAGTAATACTAGCACCATACACACTCTTGAGAAAGTTTAAATACATAGCCAGGTTTTGAGGATCACATATTAAAATTTTTTATAAATCAATCTTTTCCGTGGCAATGCTGGGGATGAAGTGGGCCACTGATTGAAATAGATGGTAGTCTGAAGGAGTGAGGTCATGGCTATCAGTTGACTATAGTATAAGTTCAATTACATCCACTAATAAAATAATTACTTTGAAAGTCAGGTCATTGAATGAAACATTCTGCCAACCACATAAAATCATTATAGTTTTTATTTTTATTTTATTTTATGGCCTTATGTTTGAAACAATTGATCAGAGAACAGTTTGGAATTGAACCCATGACTGTGGGGGACGGCAAGCTGAGAGTCTACAACACTGACCATTCGGCTACATGGTCTCCCATTGTAGTGGTTCTGAAGAACTCCACTCAATTTTTTTTTCAGTATACCAGGCTGAGCCACTTGACTCTTATCCTCGATAGTGTGTCAAAGAGTACTACAGCTGAAACTGTCTCCGTTTGCAGGCTTGTAGCCTCAGCTTATGATTTCAAACAATCTCTGTGCACAATGCACACCTTTTTTTAAAATATATATTCATCGGCTGAACTGAAATTTCAATAGATCTAAATCTTCCCAATAATGTCATTTGAGGATTGTTGTAATCCTCAAGTCAGAATGTTATCAGCATTTCATACTTCATCATTTCACATGAGGCAATATCAAACAAACACTGAGATTAAGATAAAGTCATTTTACAAATGGACTCAATATAGTAAATAAATAAAATGATAATAAAACTGTAAAGAGAATAAAATACCCATTTGTTAAACATTAATAAAAGTTGAAAACCACTTGGTTTCACTAATTTGTTTATTTCATAATCTTATAATATACTTTACTACTTTAAAGTTTAGTATTTTGATATCCACACAATTTCAAGCATTAACAACAAATTATTTATGGTCAAAGACCCAAAGATTTATGGAAGAGTAATGAAAAAAAAGGAACACAGACAATTTATACAGCCATATCGACAACACAAAAACACAAGAGAAAAACTGACCAGCTCTTATTTAAAAAGAGACTAACTGCAATTAAAAATGACAGATAATGAAAATTCTTTACTATTTAAATCAATGTTGCTAAAATAGTAAATATATTGATTTATAATTTTTATGTAAAGAATAGCCACATTACTTTGGTTAAATAGGACCAACTAAAAATAGTGAATTGTATTGTATTTTTCAATGGGCTGCCGAACATTTTAAAATAGATTTTGTAACAAAAAATGTAAATTAAAAAAATGTAGGTGATAAAATTGTCATAGTCTAAAAAGCTTTTATACTTTTATCTTTGATATCCATACTGTAATTTATTTTCTTTAAACTTATTATTGATATTAATTTTTCATTTATATAGTTTTTATATAGTGAGTTTGTATGTTTATTTCTTATTTTTTTAACCAAGCAACTATTTATAAATAGAATATAACATTTGAATGACAACACACTTTCATGAATAAAAAAATTAAACATTAAATACATACAAGAATAACGCAAATGTTCAATTTTAATATTTCCACAGTCATAGCAACAACAAGGTGAAAACATGAAGGAAGAAATAACCAGTTACTCAGGAAGGAAGAGAGAAACTGAGATGATAAAATGGATGAGTGAGCACTCAGGCGACCTTCACACAATTCAAGGTCTTCGACGATCCCAGTTGAAAACATTAGGTCACAGTAGCATTGCGGGCAAGACTCATATTTGTGAGAAAGCCCATTTTTAAAATTTTCTCTTATTAAACATACCTGAGGCCACATTTTGGCTGTCAATGTGACCGACTGCTGGAAGAGGTTGGTCCTGACGCCCAGGCTAGTCTTGTATCCCAAGAAGGTCCCATCTGAAATCAAAACGAACAAAAATTACCGGTTATACCTCAAAACAAAGACAAATAAAACCGCGCTGAATGAATGTTTGTGATAAGAAGTGTGGTCCCGGTTCATTTTGTCATAGATTTGCAACACAAGCTGCAGTAAACCATCCAACTCAGGCTCTTTTCATTATAATGATAAGTATGGAACTAATTCGCTTTAGCTTGACCTTTTAGCGAGAGATATAAGTAACAAACCTGAATTTCTGTTAAGGGGAGAAAGCAATGATTTAGTTATTTCTTAATTGTACCTTTAGGGACCCCTTTCACTTTTTGTATCTTGTTATTATCTATCGACATCCACTTTAACAACATAGAAAAATGTGTTATTCATTATGGGCTTATAACATTATAAACTTCATTTGATAAAATGGAACATTGTAAGTGAAAATTTTGTACGTTGTATATAACTATGACTGCTACTAACTGTTCAATAACATTATGTTATCAATCATCAAGTTTAATTTTACTTTGACCATAAATTATTAGTTATTATAACTATTAGTATAATTCCACATTGATGTATAATGTTCCGTTGCTTTTTGTCAAGTAAAAATAATAAGTAACTGCTTATATGAATTTTTTCCCAAGTGATTAAATGTACCTTTATTTCTAATTCTAATCATTTTTTATATAGAAATTTGAGTGTGGACCATTTCATTATTTGATTTGATTGCAATATTATAGTTATTACAATTAATTAAGGTTTTTAGTTGAGATAAAAAAGCCAATGGCACGAGCAGGATTCGAACCCACGATCTTCGGCTAGATACGCCGCTGCTCTACCACTTGAGCTATCGTGACCTCGATCCACTTGGACGCCAACTTCCTATCTCCAGAAAAATGGCAAAAAGGAAGGAAAACTCAAAAGGTGGGGTTGAGATAGGAAGTTGGTGTCCGAGTGGAACGAGGTCATGATAGCTCAAGTGGTAGAGCAGCGGCGTATCTAACCGAAGATCGTGGGTTCGAATCCAGCTCATGCCATTGCCTTTTTTTATCTCAACTAAAAACCTTAATTAATTGTAATATATTAATTGGTCAAGCGGACCACTAAATTAGTAAATTTAAAGAATTATGGTTATTAATTTAACTAGAGAATTGAAAACTTTTTTAAAAAATATACTGAGCAAAATATTCCAAAAGAGATACACTTAGACAGTCGCCAAAATCAAGGAAACTATATCTGACAATTTCATTTTTTAATCGTTGATAAATCTATTGACGCTCACTCGTAGCATGTATGCTCGTTAGTTGACATCCTTGATCCTAAAATAAATCATGAAACTGCGCCTCATTTTACTAATGACAGTTGAACCAACTTTTCAAGAAAGGATTTTACTTTTAATAACGGACACAGCCCATTATATAATAAAAACAGGACATCATTTAAAAGTATCAGACAATGGTCAACATTGCTTGCGTGGCCCATGGACTGAATAGAATTGTTGAAAAAGTTTGCAAAATATTCCTTATATATCAATAATAGCAAAAAAATTCTTAAAGCTCCTCATCGAGTTTGGTGCCTATAATTTTTCCCTAAAATCCAAAATGGTTGGTTTTTGCACGTTTCTAAATTTTCAAAGGCCTGGAATTCCAAGCTGCGTCGACGGTCTAACCATTGTGGCCACTGACACTCAGATATTTTAATTATTTATTTCATAGTTATTAAATATACTAGATGAATTTTTATAAATTTAACCCAATAAAAACAACACATTTATATATTCATATTTTATTATTATACTATTTAATTTTATTGAATAATAAAAAATGAATTAAATGTAGTAATCTCGATATACTTTTGAAATTTGTATTTTAACAATGACAATCTATTGTTTGTTGTGAGCTAATGAAAATAATCTTATCACATGAAATTACTTAATCAATTAAATTTAATTCTCTATTTATCAACACATTGAGAAATAATAAATCATTAGTAGTAAAAACACAAAACTTGTATATTTTTAACACAATGTTATCTGCTGTTTTGTCCAATTTTAACATTATCTTTGTTTGATTTCAAACATCAATAATTGATATTTGATATATAAAAATCAATAATTGAATAAACTTCTAACTAAACCTTTATTATTTACTTATAAATGATTGTAATTAATGCAGTTATAAACAAAAAATATAATAGAAAACTTTGATAATGGCTTTTATTAAATTTCGTTGTACATAAAAATACCGTATATCAAAATTGCAAATGCTTTTTTTTAAAAAGACTGAGATCGAGCATGAAATACTGAAGTTTACAAAGTTTATGCCTTGAATACCCTTAAGTTCCAAAGTATCAGGCTATTGCAAAACTAATAATTGCTTACCACTGGCCACCCTACGTGAAAGTTTCCAAATCTGGTTTATGATAAAATTCATCCATTTTTTTTAATACTTATGGTTTACTCTAAGGTCTGAAATCTATTATGATAATACGGCATTTGTCATTATATAAATACACCTGTTTGAATTTTTTTTAACCACCATTGAAACTGAAAATGACATATATTGTTTGATTTTTTAAATCGTTTCACAATTTGTTTGAATCCAACATTATTATTCAATATTCCAATATTGTTTTGGCTTATTTGATAAAACCTGAAAGGCAAATTTTTAAACCTTACATTTACTAATCTCTAAAACAGAAAACTTAAAAAAAAAACACTTGCTGAGAAATTTGTTTTATTAAGATCACTTCCTAAAATTGAAAATTGCAACTTTTCTTAAGAGGATTGTTCGTTTCTTCTACTGCAATTTTTCTCTCTTGATTTATTCCTTTAATTTCCACCTGCAATCCCATGATAAACTGTCCCCCCACAAAAAAAAAGTTTTACTTTGTAGTGAGACTGAAATCTAGTATTTCTCAAAAACCAAAAATTGCAATTTAAAATTCTCACTCCAAGACATATCTTGCTATTAACACAATAAAAAACCTATACTTCCTGGAATTTTCTGGTGTATACATACTTTAACAGATGACTAATTAATTATGTTAACAAGAACTGACATAAGGGTTAGCTCATAATGATTTAACACTGAAAATTAAAATTATGACCGAAACTGCTTCTAGTATCGATCAATTCGATTGGGTGAACATTTGGGAAGAGAAAAGTCTTTTAATAAATTATTTTTGTAATTTCTCTACTTCGAGTGTTCCCTGAAGCCCCTACTGTGCACCTAAGAGTTCCGCTTATAATCAAACACATTTTTTAGTTAATTATTCTTTTTATGTAAGGTCTTGGTTCGAAGCCAAAGGATACAAATTCCGCTCTTGACACTAACATTTCATATCAACCACGGCCTTACATAAAAGTAATAATTAATTGAAATAATGAATATGGATAATTATATTTTAGATTTAAAGGAACACGATAATTGTTTATGAGATTATACCAGGTTAGACCTATGCCTAGTTTACTCTAGTTTAGTCTCATACATTTAAATGAAATATGTATGAGATCTGAGGGGGGGTCAACGTCCCAGATATATGTGCAACATTACCTCTATTTCTTTTTTACCACCTTTCATTGCATGCTGGTCTCCCCCCTTTTTAATCACTGTTATTTTTGACTTTTTTAAGTTCACAGTTTAGGTTCCACAGCTGAAAATAACCGTTTAGTTAAGAAATTATGTTTTGTAGTGCATGTGGCTCACTTGCTAATAGGACAATATCATCAGCATACAACAAGTATCTCATGTCGATGCTTCCTACCCAAATTCCTCCCTCTATGAACTCTTACAAATCATTTAAATATTGTGAATAACTTTTCAATTAATTAATCTTTAATTAAGGTTTTGGATGAGATAAAAAATAGCAAATAACGTTGATTTCATACAGCCCATTAATTCTCCCCAACATCTGCTCTAGTAGAAAAAGATCAGATCTATACATTTAGAATTCAAAATCACAATAAAAAAAATTTCAATATTTTACATTCACTTTTCATGTATAAAGAAAAAAAACAAACAACAAACAGAAAAGGAGTAATGTGTCAAGGACAATCTGTCTCTTTATTAAGTTTCTAACTCTATCTCAAGTGCCATATAAAAAGAAAGTATTGTTTTAAGTTAATTGTTTTAATTTAAAGTACACTTAGTTATTGTTGTACGACACACAAGTAAGTGTTTCGTTTGTGTGTGCACAAGAATTCTAATTAATTATTATTCATAGGATACTCATCATATTGTAACAATAAATAATACATAATAACCATTGTCAAAGGAAATATATTTGCTGATTATACAAACATTTGTTCAGGGTAATCAAAGCATCCACCGCGGTAAGATCAACATTAAGTAAGATTAACATTTCATATAACCTTTATAAGTTAAAAAAAGCAGTGGTGAAAGGAGACAGGCTTGCTTTACCCCTAAATTTGTTTGAAAAGTTTGGCTCATGCCATGTTTCGTCCAAACTGCGGATTCTGGTTCCTTATAATATTTTTGAATTATTTCTACCTATTTGCTCAAGACACCACAGCTATATTATTTATAAAAAATGGAATCAAACATGGCACAAACCGACAAAAAAGCTATATATTTATCTCCTTTTTTATTACGTTTTGATTGTGATTATATTTAATAGATTAAAAATATTGTGAACCTTTCTAAACCCAGCTTGATGTTGAGTTAGTATATTGTTACAATCTATCAAATATACTATCACTCTAGTATTATCCCAGTAAACAATTTAGTGATTGTATCGGAAAACAAAATACCTAGATAATTCTTTGCCAAGTTAACTTTTTATCATTTTTTATGTTTTCATCCCTCTATTCCACAGATGTGCTGTTTGTTGTCTCTGCCTGTGGAATAGAGTGGGTCAAGATAAAAAATACATTTTAATGATAACCTATAGAATAGATAAGAATAACAATAATATCAATATAATATAGTTTATATGATTTGCCAAATTAATAACGCCTTTCTTATGTAGAGGGAAAATTATCGATTTACCGAAGCTTTCCAGTGTTACAGAATTTTCAAAAATAAAAATTCATACAGTATCCTATCAAAACTGGGGGGGGGGGTTTGCTGTTGGGTATTTTTGGTAGGAATTATACAATGTTATGACCTGCAAATCGTCACACCATCTAATTGTAAAATCAACCACCAAATTCATAAAAAAAAGGAAAGACTCAGCGCACTACAACACTTGCACTGGATGGATTTAGGAAACCTGCTGGAACCCCTCGCCTTCAATATACAAGATACATTTTTACAACGATAGTGATCTATGCATGTTATGAGTGTTAAATTAATACTCGTGGTAATGTACATTTACATACTTGTAAAACCAATACTGCGCTAAATTATTTGTCATTAAGGTAAATTATAATAGTCTTATCTGTTAATTAAAAAAAATCAATTTCGCGCCTTTTTTAAATTATAATTTAAATGATATTTGTTTAATAGGCTTTTTCAATAAATAAAAATGGTTAAAGACGCTATGTTAATAAGGAAGATTTCAGGAATCCAAGGGCGTTTCACGGGAAAGGAGACACGTCTGACAGTGACATTTGGCATACATGTGGGAGGGGATGAGAAATTGATTTTTTAAAACACTTTCTAATACTTCATAACTCATTTAAGTAATACAATATTGTTTAAATTTGAAAATATTTAAATCTTTTGTATGCTTTTGGAAAAAGAATTGTCTGGTATACAGACCGCAACTTTAAAAACGAGATAGCGTACCTTGTTAAGTAGGTTAATGCTATTCGACAAATCTGAGCTTTCTCGAGCTTTTTATCGAACAGGAAATTCAAAAGTTCAGCTTGAAACGCACCCAAAACCAAAAAAAAAACAAACCCAAAAACCCTCTAAAAACTCACAATTTCATAAATCCGATCTGTCCCTCGGAACGGTTCCCGCGTTGGCTGCGGGTGAAAGCTGCACTGGGAGGCTCCGCCAGGAAGGAAACTCGTCGGAAAAGCGGAGAGGGAAATTAAAATCGAAACTTTGAGCTTTTAACTGATTCAGACTAAATTTAGGCCATTGTTTTCCTCTCGTCCTGCCTCGTCGGTCGTTCGCTATCGCCTTATCAGCTTTGCCTGACAGATTAGTCAGCTGTCCGCGATAACCAGCCAGGCCCGCCAACGTGACGGCCTGGAGCTCGACCCAGATTGTCTACCGTTTTAAACAAATTCCCCCCGTCACAAAGTTGGAGTTGACTTTTCAACAAATCAGGCGAAACTTTGTTTTTCACCGTTAAACAGGGAAAACTGGCCATTACAGTTTTATATTAAAAACAGAGGTTCTGATTTTCTATTAAAGTTCTATTTTGACTGGGCAAGAAGAAATAAAAACAATATTTTACCAGAAAACTATTTATGATTGTTGTAATGAACTTTTAAACTACAAAAAATTATTTTAAATTTTTACTGTAAATATTTAGACTGAAGTAATTGTAAGTCGTTTAAAATAAATTTTCACTATTCACTTTACAAGTAGGAAAAAATATTAAAGGCACGTTTTCCTTATCTAACTTTTGTTGTTCAACTCAATTGACCAACAAAAGTTCAAAGCGACTTGAATCAGAAGAAAAGTTAAGGGGGAGTTTTTATATCAATTAATGAGTTGAAAACTGTTTGTACTCACAAACTGTATGTCTATGATTCAGATAAATCCAGCAGCCTTATGGTCCCTTGAATATGAAGATTGCGGTCTCATGATGTCTGTTATGAGAGTTGTATATACATTTACTTCAATTTGGGTACCTATTATGGTGAATTTTAGGTCTCAAAAGTTTAAACAACCTTCTTTACTTGTTAGCTGGTAAGGTACTAATTAATTGGAGGTAGGGCCAACCTCAAACTTTCTAACAGGGTGGTTAAGCTGTACCAGGAACAGACAAGGAGGAGAGTCGAGACGACGCAACGCATCCTCTTTATTCCAAAAATTAACGCATCTATACATAATTGTTATTGCGCAGATTAACTGAGGGGGTGTACGTCGCTGTCCATCCCACATCCCTCTTCATCTATGGGTTCCTGCGTGACCCGAGGCGCCTGCCAAGTCCTGCCGCTCAATCCACCCCAGCTGGCTAGAGTGGTCTAGATTTATATAAAATTACTAATTAAAGATAAGGCTATAGTTGAATCCCCTCAAGGATCTCCGACAATTGACTGGCCAGGCGGTGTTATCTTTTAGCCTGGTCTTATTTAATACACCATTCAATTACATGCTTTACTGTTATAGTTCCCTAAAGCTTTCACAAAGAGGGGGCAATTCTCTAGTCATTAGATATCCATGAGTGAGCCTACAGTGCCCTATTCTTACACGAGACAAGAATTTTACAATATGTAATTTGCGGATTGTACAAATTACAAATTGTAATTGTACAACTATTTACATTGAGGGGAGAAAATAATCCTCCCTCTTAACTTTGTTTATGTTTTTTTTTACAGTTTACTCGGAAAGGAGGTCACAGATTTCCTCTTAAGACGCCTTATGGGATTGTAGGGATGGGTTCTATCGGACAGGGCTTGGGCAAGATTTGGATGGTGGGAGAGTTTTCTGTGAAACTTGGTAAATTTTTGGGGAATAAATTTTTGGATATAAGGAATTTGAAGGTCGTTGTGGAGGGTAGCATTTGAGACATAATAAGGATCATTTACAATGGATCTGAGGACTTTAGATTGAAAGGACTGGATATTGGATATTGGAATGTTTAGCGGTTCCCCACAGTTCTATTCCGTACGTCCAAATCGGTTTTAGTAGTGTTTTGTAAATTGTAAGTTTGTTTTTTGTCGATAGTTTAGACTATCGTCCTATAAGTCTGTGCAGTAGACCATACCGTCTGTTTAGGTTTTCTGTGAAACTTGGTAAATTTTTGGGGAATAAATTTTTGGATATAAGGAATTTGAAGGTCGTTGTGGAGGGTAGCATTTGAGACATAATAAGGAGCATTTACAATGGATCTGAGGACTTTAGATTGAAAGGATTGGAGACGTTGGATATTGGAAGGTTTAGCGGTTCCCCACAGTTCTATTCCGTACGTCCAAATCGGTTGGAAGCAACCGCAGGATCGGAATTGGAGGATAGTACAGCTGTATCATCGGCGAAGGATGCAAGTAGGGTGGTAGGTTTAGTGGGAATATCTGCAGTATAAAGGATGTAGAGGATTGGTCCGAGCACACTGCCCTGCGGTACTCCCGCAGCCAGAGATTGGAGTAATTTGGAGTAACGAAAGAACCGCTCTGTTAGATAAGAGCGGAAGATTAGGTAAAGAGTATTTGGAAGGACACGCTTTAATTTGAGTCCCCTGTGCCACACGCGGTCAAACGCTTGTGCCGTATCAAGGAAAGCTCTCATACAATATTCTTTGCGCTCGAGGGAGGAGGATATACGGTCAACAACGCGAAACACCTGCTGGACTGTGGAATTGTTTTATGTCTAAAGTTTATAATGAGATGCAAGTGGTTAAATAGAACAGCTCGCACAGCCGAGAAGGAAGGCGAAAAAAGAAAACAAGCCATAGGCGAAAGTCCATTGAAACAGAAAAACTTGTTATTATAATTATCTAGATAATGTACTCAAACGAAAGTGAACGATATTTGATCGAATTATTGAACGATAGAAGAAAAAGAAAACGAATAAGTTATTCCCAGTGATATTATTTAAACTGGAATTTTTCGAATATTTTCATCAAACCAAGACAAAAATATTAAATGATTAATACGAATTAAATTACACGGGAATTGGAAAAACAAGGAGGATTCTTTCCTAAAGGTCATTTTACAAAATTCTCTTCCTGTACAACCATATTTTAAACGACACATTTTTAACAGAGCGAATTGGTCAAGTTCTAACGTGATTTGCCTCCAATGATCTGAAAAGCAAGTTGGAATATTGCGATAGTTTCATATTAATTAATAATTAATTACAGGCTTGGGGCTACGTTTCTCTCCAGGGACGGAAGTGAAAACGGCATCAGTCCAGTTTGGAACAATTGCTGTTCTACATGATTTCTCCCAGACGTCCGGCGGGATTAATGATTTTATGAGAGAAAAGGTCAAGCGAAAAAACAGTCGTCTTCGTTACAATATTAAAATAAACGAAACAAGGCGAGTACAGGCGGACCAGGTTATTCTGAGACTCAAAGGCAATAAAAATAATTAAACAGCTTCTGTGTTGAAGTAGTAAAGCAGTAGAGTAATCAGTAATTAAGGAATGCAGGAAGGGCCAACAATACTTGCTTTATAAATAACGAAATTATAGTCGGAACATTTTTTAAAGAAGAAAATAAACAAAAACAACAAATGTATCTTAGCAGAATCTACTATATTTTAGTAACAATAACAAAGGTCAAACAATGGAATAACGTACGTATCGACCAAAATAAACAGGACGATATATTTTTTGGAAAAAACAGAACTGTACGATCAACGATCAAGCCAATAATTTCAAATTAATAAATCCAAAATGAAAAAAAATAAAAAACTAATAATTTAATATAATAAATGATCGAAATGTAAAACGAAGACATTAATTTATTAATCAGTATTTTTATTGCGTTAACATACTTTGACGGCTAAGTTATAAGTCAGCGATTTGATAGTCTTGATCATCGAGGTCCGCATATTTGTGCTTTGTGTGTGTGTGTGTGTGTGTGTGTGTGTGTGTGTGTGTGTGTGTGTGTGTGTGTGTGTGTGTGTGTGTGTGTGTGTGTGTGTGTGTGNGAGAGAGAGAGAGAGAGAGAGAGAGAGAGAGAGAGAGAGAGAGAGAGAGAGAGAGAGAGAGAAGAGAGAAAGAGAGAGTGTGTGTGTGTGAGAGAGAGGTGTAGTTACATAACCAGATTATTTAACTAGTTAAAATTTATGAAATTCTATTAAAGTTTATCATATATTTTTCGGCAGTAATATGAAGAATGACTTGAGAAAAGAATGCTTGGTATAGTCGTTAGAAAAAGAATAAAGCAATACATATTTCATGAATTCCACCGGAATATTGCTGAGGGTTGACGGTATAATACAATTGACTGAAAGTTGGTAACGTATCAAAATGAATAGACAATAGTATGCTTTTTTATAACCGACAGGATGCTTTTTTCAGAATTGTACATCGAGCTCAGACTTTTTCTATTCAGATGCAAACAGAACATGAAACTTCATGCTCTGAATGTTAATCTTGTTTTCAAAGGAATTAAAAGATATAGTACACAACAGATTTTGTTATTTTGTCTTTCCTCATCGATTAACAGGAATTACCGTTCCCCTGGGATGTACAAATAAGAGACGTCGTTAAATCATCCACCACCTCCGGAACGGAAGAATGACTGGCCGTTTTCCAATAACAGAAGTGCAATAGAGGCGTTAATCCGTAGGTCCCACTTGGCCAAAAGGGCGCAATTCCGAAATATTGCTTCGGAGAGGATAATCTGCGAAGCGATATTTCTTTAAAAATCACCCCACAGGATGATTAAGCTCCTCCTTTCGAAGTGCTCGCTTTCATCTTCATTCAATTATTCCGTTACAGCAGAGCGTTTCTTCAGGATCCGGTTCAGAGGAAAACTGGACGCACCTTTTACACCAGGAAAGAGAGCTCAAAAACTTAATCGGATTCAGTGATAATTTGGAACGGATTGGAAAAAAAAATTCAAATGCACTAGGAAGAAGAAAGAATAACTATTACGACAATTCATCATTAATCTGGTGGACCAAAGCTCAACAAAAAGCAGCTACTCAAACATTAGGCAGCATACAAAGACTAGCAAACGTATGTATCACAGGGGCAATGAGAACCCCTACAATTGCACTAGAAACTGCTAAACCTACCTCAACTGGAAATATTCATTCAGGGAGAGGCTAGGAAAAGCTCATTTAGGCACCGAAAACTATTCAATTGTTTCAACAATTGTTTGTTGAACAAAATCAGACACCCATTCTTTGAAATGGGGACTGACTATGTGATCTCGGAAACAATCTTCACATCCTACAATGTCTCAACGGAATATGAAGGAGAGGAAGAACACAGGATTGCATCAGACACAATGATACGGTATACAGATGGCTCCAAAACAAACGAAGGAACCTTATCAGGCATTTTCTGTACAAGTCCAAAA